CCAGTTTCAGGTACCAAGTTTTTTGCTTTATGACACTAAAAAAAAGAGAGAAGTTTCTTAGTAGCTGAAGGCTGAAGCTGAAAAATGTATTAACAATAAAAGCTCAGCTCCAAAGACGATAGAATTGGCAACCTAGCCAAACAAAATCATGAATGCAGTGTCTCAAAATTCATAACAGAACATACTCATACATTGTACAACTCACAAAAAAAGGGTCTAAAAGGCATAGTATTAAGGCAAACAAATTTAACATATAGCATTTATGGATTTGCTACCTCATCAAAGATCACGAGGCCATCGAAGCACACCACTGAACAAGCTGTTGCAGGCAGGAACGACCCTTCTCAGAGGAAATAATAAGGCTATTGTATGTCAAGAATACCACTCCTTTAATCCCAACAGACCTTGAGTCGAGCTTTGAATAGGGTAACTTGTTCAAAGCATGCACTGCATGCAAAACACGTGGTCACAAATTTTATTCCTAAAACGACAAAGACAAAAATACGCATTGCAATTTCAATGCTCACTTGGCTGATGGCATCAGAACACAGAACCTAGTTCAGTTTTCCTGTTATACTGCTCTGTTATTATTTCCAGCCCTCTAAGATTTTAAACTTCCCCAGATGAATCTATAAGAAAGTAACACTGAAGACAGAGAAGGGCATTCACGAATGAATTATTTTCTAAGTATAACATGCTTTGATTAATCTAAAATAGTCCTGTTTAGCACAAAGATCAGCATTCCCAAGAATTTTCTAGGCCTGAAGATCTGGAAACAGAGACCAAAGAGCTATAACTGCATTTCAGAAAAGATCAATAAGAATCGTTGATTCCTTGCATGGTGTAATGTGGCTGAGAGACATGTCTATACACTAAATCCTAACTGCTGCAACCATGTGTCAATTCACATCTTTAGCCAACACAAGCATAATTTGATTTCATATTGTCTAATCAAAATCAAGCACTTCAAAAAAAAAACCTTCAGCGTCAAAACAAGGCAAGTCATGTAAATCCAGAAAGTGCTTTTATGTAAAATAGAGAGACCGATTTTAAAAATCAGTACCTTTTGCGCATGTTGCACCTACATCATCAAGTCCCTTCTTGCATCGTACTCCAAGTCTGAGCCAACAAAAATCCACCTGTGTGAGGCCACAGGGAACAAGGCAAACTTAACTGACGGAGTAAAGAATGTGATTATGCAGGCTGCTGCAGAGGCGGGAGAGTCTGAATCGGCTGTCGGCTGCTGGAAATGTGGCCGTGCCCTAGCGAGGAGCTCCGGCGGCAACATTTGGGGAAGTTGACAGGTAGGGCACGAGAACTCGACCACACCGGTCTTCACCCTCAGGATCACACGGCAACCGGCGCACCTCACCTGAACCTCAGCCCTGCCTCCACCTCCGCCACCGCTGCCTGAGGAGGATTGCGGAGGCGGAGCCGGCGGGCGCGTCATGGAGACGACGCCTGACTTCGAGCGGATCCGAGAGACAGATGCGATTCCAGGAGACGAAACGCCTTCCAGAGCGAGAGAGGCGAAGACTGGAACAGTGTAAGTAATGATTCGCGAGGGCGCGAAAGGTCTCTCGGTGCTCTTTTCTTTTCTCCGTCTTCTCCTCCTTCTCCTTCGGTTCCTCGATTAGGTTTTCGTAGCAGCAGATTTGTCCCTTTTTCTTTTTATTTTGTTTTTTTAATTAATCTGAATTTTCATGCTTCTTTCTTTTTTTTAAATATCGTATTCAGGAAGTTAAATTAAATCCGGAGAAATATTATTTACATGAGTGAGTGACGACGGGGTGTGTGGGCCGGAAAAACCCACCTACGAGTTGGGAAGTGCGGTCGAATGAGCACGTGAAATATCACGTGACCCACCTTCTACTGCCGCATTTTATAAACTTGCTAACTTTGGACCTAATTTATAAATTATTAAATAGTTATGGGTTAGTGAAGAAGGGTATTTGATTTGGGTCGTTGTTGTAAACTATATTTGGGCTTTGTGAACGAACACACAAATGGGTTGGGCTAAGTTCCTTTTCTTAAATGGGGAGGAGAGGCATTCAAACGTTAGCAACAACAACACCAAGAATCGAGAGAGGGAGAAGAGAGCTTTCACACACTCTCTCTCTCTCTCTCTAGACCCTCTACGACTTCTCTCTCCTCAACACAAGCAACCTAGATTATGTTGGCTATAATGTCCGAAAATATATGAAAGAGTAATCCGAAAACACATGAAAGAGTAATCACTAGACAAGGGATCGCATGACTTGGTGCAGCGGTTCGAACCCGACTCGTCGAGCACTGGAACATGATGTAGCCAACAGGCGAGCCAGGCGAACCGCGCCGAATCGAAACACCCCGAATGAGGGATCGCATTCCAGTTCGAACCCGACTCGTCGAGCACTGAAACATGATGCAGCCAACAGACGAGCCGCTGCATTCAGTCTTGCGATCCCTTGTTACGATTGGACTGAATATCTTCATGTATTTTCGGACACTCTAGCCAACACAATCTTCTGGACAAAATATCACTTTGTTTTTGTTATCTTCTACAAGGGAGAGAAACTAAAAAAACCCTAGAAATGCAAATGAGGAGAAACAATGACAAACAGAGAGTCAAGGGCCTCACCGGAAACCCAAACATTAAGCAGGTCACCAAATATCTCTCTCCAGGACTGCTAATACTCCTGGAACCACAAAAATCCAACCTTTAATCGAAATCCAGAGAGAAACAATGACAAGTATTCATAAAGAAACAAAACAAAACAGTAGAACCTCTTCTCTTTCTCTTTCATACCAGAGTTGATGAACGAAACAAGGAGATAGGAGTCAAGAAGCTCGTAGAAGTTTTGAGAGGAAGTTATGTAAGGTGCTGGTTTCAATGTAATTGAAAAGATTGGAGAAGAAGATATTAAAACTCGAACCTGGGGAAACGTTATTGACCGAGACTAACGCTTGACTGAGCAGATCTCTATCACTGAAACTGATATCTCTTCAGACATGATGAATACCTGTCTGCATTTTTCTAATTCAAGGAAACGCTTTTATCGACTCTTGTACGATCTCTTCTCCAAAAAACAAAACCAAAATGGAAAATAAAATATCTCTTGCCAATCAAGGTATAACTAATGGGCCTGGATTGTCTAATGGGCCACAAGTTACTCCAAATCTTATCAAATCACCGATTGGTTATTGTTTTCGCTTACCCGATCGGTTGGGTTAAATAACCGAAATTATTCGGTTAATCGAAATACCCAAATTAAATTAGGGTTCCTCGGCCTAACTTTGGATCGTACCTCTCTCTTTTGTTTCATCTCTCTCGTTCATCGCCTGATTCCTCTGCCTTCTCCATCGTCGTGTTTGGATTCTATTCGTTGTTAAATATGCTGCGACGGCCGATGGACAATTCCGTCGCAGTTTCTGTCGCAATTTGCAGTTTTTTTTAGTAATCCCTGAGATCCAAATAATATATCCTTTCTTGGTTTGAAGATCATAACCATGCATGTATTAGATATGATTAATTGGATGGAGTCATTACCTCGACAACATGCATGGCTTATTGGTATAAACATGTAGGGGACCAGCCAAGCTATATGGCAGACCACGTCTCCAAATATCGGAGATTATATAAGGACCATACGTACGCTAAATATTTCGAATCACGTTTTTGTTATGTCCATTATTGAGAATGAAAATCTGTGAACCCTAGAGTTTGGTGCATGTCTCCCTGGTCGAGAATCATGCATTGTTAACTAACGGATGCGACCTGCCAACAAAGTTTTCATTAATAGCTTGTCTGGAAATTTATATTTAAAGATGATTTTGATCATCATTTTCCGGCACATCAAACTGTAATGATTCATTATCCTTTGCTTTCTATTTCTCGAAGAAAAAAATATGTTCAATATATAGTTTCATAAGGAAACAAGTTGTCCGCCGAGAATTGTCTTGCACCGTTGAATTATTTCGACAGACGTGTAGATTACATCACGGGCGAAGACAACTCTGTTTTAGGAGATTTTATTGTAAGTCTTCATCTCTTCAAGTCATTTGTTATTTAAGTTTGTAATTTTTAGTTTTATTTATTTTTATTATTATACATATCTATATTAAGAAACAAAAAAACTATGATTTTAGGATAATCGCTCCAGGATCTGATTTAAAAAAAGAGTCATTATATATAGGAAAACGAGATATAAAAAACGTGGAGGATTTTATTTAAATACTACGTCCATGTGATGAGGAAATTACAAATTTACAATACGATAAACTCTGTTGAAAAGCAATTGAATTCTTTCGAATCTTATTGTTATGAATGCATAATATCCTCCAATATTCACATAACATGTATATGAGCTATTTATTTGATAATTTTGCGCTTCATATAACACTTCCATGGTGTTTATTTAATGCCTGCTATAAATGATGTAATAATTAATGCATACCGTTTTAACAGTTATATGAAAAGCATGCGGTCTTGAAGCAAATGTATTGTTAACATGATATGGTGGGTCCTTAAGTACGATTTGGTTGTAACTTGTGAAATTTTAGGCTGTTTCCTTAATTTCTGACAGGATGTTCTTAAGCATGATTTGGTTCTAGTTTGTATATCAAAATATAATGTTATCAACTAAAAATCTACAAAAGAATAATTCTCAATACATAATTTCAACTTAAAATCAAATTGTATTTCTTAATAATTCTCAATACGGATAAGATATCCGAATTTTTCGATGTATCGGAAGTCCGTTCTACAGACCCGAACCCTACACTAACCTTTAAACCAAAAAACAAATTGCAATTTTGCGCACTAATAATTACTTATTGAAAACTTATTACAGATAAATAAATAAAAAAACAAGCCAACTGTTTTTTATAGATTATTTAATATTTATCACGCTCTTTCTTCTTCTTTGTGCAGGTGAGTTTGAAAAAAGAATCAAAAACCCTAGCAAGATTCTAAATATAATTTGGACAATTAAGGTCACACCATCAACGTGAACGTGAACATGAACATGAACAGCAATAGCCTTAACATGAACGTTGAGTTATTAACGCAACTACGGCAAGGAACCTTTCTGTTTATTGTACTTTCTGTCACTCTCATCATCGTGTATTTCGCAAGAGATTACCTAATCCGATCCATGAAAACATCAAAGGGACGAGAGCTACCTCCAGGACCCTTTCCATTTCTTGTACTTTTTATCACTCTCATCATTGTGTGGTTCGCAAGATATTACCCAATACGTTCCACGAAAATATCAAGGGGACGAGAGCTACCTCCAGGACCACGTGGATGGCCCATGGTCGGGAACTTGGTCGGACTGATCACGAACCGGTCTGTTCATACGTGGATCCACTGTGTCATGAATGAGATGCAGACAGAGATTGCATGTTTTCACTTCGGCAATGTCCACGTCATCACCATAACGTCCGACCAGATTGCCCGAGAAGTCCTTAAGGAGAAAGACAGTGTTCTCGCCGATAGACCTGAGTCATACTCAGCCTCACTAGTGAGCAATGGCTTCAAGGCTCTCATTTTCTGCCATTACGGAGATCAATGGAAGAAGATGAGAAGAGTGATGACGTCAGAGTTGATGTCACCCGGAAGACTGAACTGGTTACTTGATGCAAGAACCATGGAAGCCGATAATCTCCTTGCCTATGTTCACACCCTTTACAAACAGTCCGAGACGGTAAACGTTAGGGATATCGCGAGGACATATGGCTATGCTGTGATGATGAGAATGATGTTTGGTCGGAGGTATCTCAAGGAAATGTCCACAGAGGATATTGGAAGCTTGGGACCAATGGAGAGAGAACACGTGGATGCTATATTCCATGCGTTGGATTGTACCTTCAGCTTTCAGATATCAGATTTCATTCCCTGTCTAAGGAGTTGGGGTTTGGACAGGCATGAGGAAAAGGTAAGAGAAGCCAGTGAAACCATTGATAAGTACAACGAAGGAATTATTGACGAGAGGATTGAGATATGGAGGGATAGAGAAGAAGGGAAGGAGGGTGTCGGAGATTGGCTCGACATCTTAATCTCGCTAAAAGATGCCGAAGGGAAGCCACTGTTAACACCTGCAGATATCAAAGCTGAATGCAAGGTCGGTGATTTCCTACAACTTAGAAAAAACACATAAATGTGAACCGTGTTCATGTGTGTGTATATATATATGCAACAACATTATACATTTTGCAGGATATTTGTGTTGCAACGATGGATAATCCAGCAAACAATGTGGAATGGACACTCGCCGAGTTGTTAAATCGACCCGATACTCTTAAAAGAGCAGTCGACGAACTCGATATAGTGGTTGGAAAAGACAGACTTGTGCAAGAAAGTGATATACCGAAACTCAACTACATCAAATCTTGTTGTCGAGAATCTTACAGACTTCATCCCGTTGCTCCATTTTTACCCCCTCATATAGCTATAGAGGACACAACCCTCGCAGGTTACTTTGTCCCCAAAGGTAACTAGCTATCCATACACTTTAATATAAAATATTCAAATTCCGAATTCTAACTATTACCGCACCCAGTAATTAAACTTAAGGCCAGTATATATAGTAATAAACTTTCTTTAAGATTTAACCTAGAATTTTTTTCCCGTGTTATGTCTATCAAAACAATATACATTATGTTTATGAAATAAAGAAAATTATTTAATCAATATGGTATTATATACGCCGTTTAGCATCCATAACGGCTCTCGTTACTCATATGCTAATCACATAAATATGCTTCAACAACAGGCAGTCATGTGATGGTGAGTCGGGTCGGGCTAGGTCGGAGCCCTAAGATATGGGAGGACCCTCACGTCTTCAAGCCGGAGCGCCACATCAGCAGGGACGGGTGCTCGGAGGAGGTGAGTCTTATGGAGCCAGAGATGCGGTTCGTGACGTTCAGTACAGGTCGTCGAGGTTGCATAGGTGTTAAGATCGGGACATACATGACGGTGATGTTGTTGGCTAGGCTTCTCCAAGGGTTCACTTGGAGCCTCCCTCCGGATCTGGGTCGGGTCGAGCTCGTGGAGTCGGTGACCAGCTTGCTCATGGCTAAGGCTCTGGTTCTGTCCGTGGAACCGAGGTTAGCTCCGCATATGTACCCGCAATTTCGCAGCTGAAGAAAGCCGTCCTTTCCTCTATCAATTTAGTTTATATGCGCAAAGAAATGAATAAATGTGTGCGGATCTTGCCGTACAATTATGCCACTATTCACTAGATTTTATTTATTTTATAATTATTAAACATATAATTATTTTTATTTATGTTAGGCTCTTTTTGGGTTATAAAATCTGAAATTAAAAAAAATCGGTTTGTTAGACGATTAAAAAGTTATTTGTGTAAGATATGAGCCTCGTATACGAAGAGGGGGGGGGGATAAAAGGCTGATATAGACCAAATACCTAAAACTTTTAGGATATTTAAAATAGAATATGAACTAATAAAAAAAATCATCCAAGTTTTAAACCTAAAATTTTAGATGCACGTATGTGAACCCAAACCTATTTTTAAAATTAAAGAATTAAGGCCTCATAATTGTGGGGTGGGCCCAATGGGTCATGTGATTGAATGGGTCCGGTTGGTATGTTTTCAATGGACTGTTTCTTGAAAAATTTCGATTGGTATGCAAAATATCGATTTTGGGTGGACAAATATAAAACGATTGTGGCTTGGTGTTAAAAATTTACAAAACTTAACTCATTTGAATATGGATTACACACAAATTTAGAAAGTATTGAAAAAATGTCATGTTTATCAAATTTGAGAATATTAATACTAATAGGGTCACGTGTTAGGATAAATGTAGATATAGTGAATGTCTCGAGAATTTAAAAATCTACAAGTGTTAACCATATTTATAAATTATAAGAGTGATATAGAAGGACTTTTAAATGATCAGAGGTTTAAGAGTTGTGTTAGACAACTAGATATAGAAAAAATATTTAGATCGAAAAGTGTTATTAGGAAGATGGAGAGGAGAAACAATAGAAGGAAAAACGTTTTAGCTCTACACAAATTGTCTAGCTAACTTAATCTACATGATTTGATGATACACAAATGTAAAGGTGTGAGAGATTTGACATCGTTGCTCCTAAATATTCCAAATCTTGATATTGGTAGATAATGCAAAGAAATTGGATAATTAACAAGGGAAGGAAAAAGCAAATGATGCAACTCATCATTTATTTTTAGAAATTAGAGAAGTTAATATTGATAAATATCTGTTAATTAAAGAGCATCTATTGGATTCCAATGAGCTTCCAATGTTTGAAAGATAGATATGACAAAAAGATATTCAAGATTTGCAAAATTGTTAAACAATATCAAATATGCAAATATATCATTAGAATTTAATAGTATAATGAGTTATGAAATACAATCAAAACTCCAATAAAAAATATGTGCGCGATATTTGTACATTATGCAAAAATTGAATGGAGAAAAAATCCATAAAAAAATACGTGTGTTTATGGAAAAGAAGTTTGTATTATTATCTGAGGACTTATGGAGAAAGGTGGATTTAGGAGAGATCGGAATCCCATCCTTGAAAGAAGTATCCACATCCAAGATATTATTCACCATTCGTACCCGTGAAGTGTGTGTGGCTATGAACTCGAGTGATGCGATTGAAGTCCGATGTTTGAATCATACTGAGGCCTTACTTGTATTCCGAAAGGTGTAAATCATTCGAAAATTCACATGCTCGATTAAAAGAAATAGTTAGGAAATGTTACGGCTTACCACTAGCGCTTAACATCATAGGTGAAAGCATGACAAACAAAAGAAAAAAATAATAATTTGGCAACATACGATCTGCGTTTTGGAATCAACAGTCCATAATTTTAATGGTACGATATCAAATATGAGAAATTAGAGAAGTTAATATTGATAAATATCTGTTAATTAAAGAGCATCTATTGGATTCCAATGAGCTTCCAATGTTTGAAAGATAGATATGACAAAAAGATATTCAAGATTTGCAAAATTGTTAAACAATATCAAATATGCAAATATATCATTAGAATTTAATAGTATAATGAGTTATGAAATACAATCAAAACTCCAATAAAAAAATATGTGTGCGATATTTGTACATTATGCAAAAATTGAATAGAGAAAAAATCCATAAAAAAATGAAGTTTGTGTTATTATTTGAGGACTTATGGAGAAAGATGAATCTAGGAGAGATCGAAATTCCATCATAGAAAGAAGTATCCACATCCAAAATATTATTCACCATTCGTACCCGTGAAGTGTGTGTGGCTATGAACTCGAATGATGCGATGGAAGTCCGATGTTTGAATCATACTGAGGCCTTACTTGTATTCCGAAAGGTGTAAATCATTCGAAAATTCACATGCTCGATTAAAAGAAATAGTTAGGAAATGTTACGGCTTACCACTAGCGCTTAACATCATAGGTGAAAGCATGGCAAGCAAAAGAAAAAAGCAATAATTTGGCAACATACGATCTGCGTTTTGGAATCAACAGTCCATAATTTTAATGGTACGATATCAAATATGAGAAATTAGAGAAGTTAATATTGATAAATATCTGTTAATTGAAGAGCATCTATTGGATTCCAATGAGCTTCCAATGTTTGAAAGATAGATATGACAAAAAGATATTCAAGATTTGCAAAATTGTTAAACAATATCAAATATGCAAATATATCATTAGAATTTAATAGTATAATGAGTTATGAAATACAATCAAAACTCCAATAAAAAAATATGTGTGCGATATTTGTACATTATGCAAAAATTGAATAGAGAAAAAATCCATAAAAAAAATACGTGTGCTTATGGAAAAGAAGTTTGTATTATTATCTGAGAACTTATGGAGAAAGGTGAATCTAGGAGAGATCGAAATTCCATCATAGAAAGAAGTATCCACATCCAAGATATTATTCACCATTCGTACCCGTGAAGTGTGTGTGGCTATGAACTCGAATGATGCGATTGAAGTCCGGTGTTTGAATCATACTGAGGCCTTAGTTGTATTCCGAAAGGTGTAAATCATCCGAAAATTCACATGCTCGATTAAAAGAAATAGTTATGAAATGTTGCGGCTTACCACTAGCGCTTAACATCATAGGTGAAAGCATGGCAAGCAAAAGAAAAAAGCAATAATTTGGCAACATACTATCTGCGTTTTGGAATCAACAGTCCATAATTTTAATGGTACGATATCAAATATGAGAAATTAGAGAAGTTAATATTGATAAATATCTGTTAATTAAAGAGCATCTATTGGATTCCAATGAGCTTCCAATGTTTGAAAGATAGATATGACAAAAAGATATTCAAGATTTGCAAAATTGTTAAACAATATCAAATATGCAAATATATCATTAGAATTTAATAGTATAATGAGTTATGAAATACAATCAAAACTCCAATAAAAAAATATGTGTGCGATATTTGTACATTATGAAAAAATTGAATGGAGAAAAAATCCATAAAAAAATACGTGTGCTTATGGAAATGAAGTTTGTGTTATTATTTGAGGACTTATGGAGAAAGGTGGATTTAGGAGAGATCGGAATCCCATCCTTGAAAGAAGTATCCACATCCAAGATATTATTCACCATTCGTACCCGTGAAGTGTGTGTGGCTATGAACTCGAATGATGCGATGGAAGTCCGATGTTTGAATCATACTGAGGCCTTACTTGTATTCCGAAAGGTGTAAATCATACGAAAATTCACATGCTCGCAAAAGAAATAGTTAGAAAATGTTGCGGCTTACCACTAGTGCTTATAACATCATAGGTGAAAGCATGGCAAGCAAAAGAAAAAAGTAATAGTTTGGCAACATACGATCTGCGTTTTGGAATCAACAGTCCATAATTTTAATGGTACGATAGATAAAATTCTTCCGATTTTGAAGTACATTTATGATAGTTTAATATCTGATGGAGTGGGTGAGAAAATCAGATTATATTTAATTTCTGTACTGTGCTCTATATCCCGAAAATTATGGCATGACACTTGACGGTGGGTGAATCGTAGATAGAATAGGAGATATAGAAATAGCGGAACACGATGGTCATTCTATCATCAATACCTTTGTTGATGCTTGTTTATTGATGAAGAAAGATGATGGTAAGGTGAAAATACACGATGTAGTACGTGAGATGACCCATTAGATTATAAATATGTAATTAATGTGTTTTAGTTTAAAAATGATATTATCTATAAATATGATTTCGTGCGTTTTTGGAATAGTATACAAATATAAAAATTTAACCATGCATGTCGAGACTGTTTGATTTGGATTTATCGAATGATTTCTTTCGATGTATGTTGAGACTGGTGAATTTGGAATTATCACATAACTCACTGGAAGAGATACAAGAGAAAATATCAGAATTGGTATCATTGCAATAAATGAGTTATGAAATACGATCAAAACTTCAATAAAAAAATATGTGTGCAATATTTGTACATTATGCACAAATTGAATGGAGAAAAAAATCTACAAAATTGAATAGATAATAAATGTCAAAGTGTGAAATATAAATAGTAATTAAAAGTTACAAATTTTAATCTTATAATTCATTATCTATTTCTTTTAAAAGTCAACATTACTAAAAAGTATGATTTAATTGGTCCAATAAATCATTTGGTTAAAGTAAAACGTTTTAGAAGTTTTTTATATATATTTGATGAAATCATTATATGATGTTTAAGTATGTGTTATCATTCTTCATGTTACTCCTCGAACTATTGAAATGATCATGTCAAAAGTATTTGTCTCCTTTCTACTCTTTTTCATATGATGTTTCATACATTTTTTGAATACTGTGCAAACATGGAAAATATCTAAAATTAACAAATTCTTATTCTTTTATTATACATATAAAAAAGTAAATCTTATAATCCAATTAATATATCATTTCATTTGGCGATCATAAAAATTGTATTACAAATAATTATTGGACCGAGTTCCATAAGCGTCAGTTGCTCAATGATCATGCATGATTCGGCGCACACGGTAAATCACACAAATCATGGTAGGCCACGTTGAAGATTTTCTATGTGTTTGTGTTTGAAAATGGAGAAAAGATAATAAAAATAAATAAACAAGATGAAGAAGAAGAGAGTTGATTTTCAACTCTTTGACTTAATTATTTATTCATACTTTCTACACTAATATATACATAAGTTAGAGAGTAAATAAAACAATAAATAAGGAAATGTTGTTTGAAGAATAAGTCTCCCAACGGCTACACATCTTGGAGAGGTATTGCAGCGTATATCCATAAGCATTAATAAGGAAATAAAAGCTCATTGTATCTAGGGATGTCAAAACGAGCCGAGCTCGCGAGCCGTCTCGAGGTTGGCTCCTTTTTTACCGAGTCGAGCCAAGAATATCTGAACCCAAATAAAAATGGGCTGAGTGAGCCAGCTCGCCACGAGCCGAGCCCAAACGAGCTAGCTCGGCTGGCTCGCGAGCTGGCTCGGGAGCTGGAATTAAAAAAAAAATTATGTTGAAATTTGAAAGTGTTGATATTGTTGGTATGATATTTTGATTTGAAGATGGTTTTTTGTACATGGATTAAGATCTAATTGTATGCATGGATTAAGATCTGAAAATGGTTTTTTGTACATGGATGGATTATGATTTTGTCTATTTGGAAATGATTTTTTGTATATGGATTGTGATTGTGAATATAAATATGATTTGGATGTATTGGTATGTTCTTTTTATGTTGATATATCATTTGGAAATGATTTTATATAATTTGATATGATTTTTTTTAGATATTTAGAAAAATACTTGGGCTAAACCAGGAATTTTCTGGCCCAAATAAAAATGGGCTTAACGAACTGGGTTGAATATGAACTGACTCGAAACGAGCTGGTCCGAGCCGGCTCGTTTGACATCTCGCATAGATTAGGGAATTGATTTAGGATGATTATTCCTTTGATTCTCCTCTTCAAACGGTCACATATCTTTGCCATATTCTCAACTAGAGTTGTCACATCATGTGCCAACTCATCGAAGACCATTTAATAATGGAAAGAGATATATTGCTGTTATGATTTTGATATTATTCTCCTTAGATCTCTCTTCTTGTTACTATACTTACGTCCATTGGTTGTACTTATATATCTCTTGTAATTGCTATGTGAATACACGATCAGCGCATTCTCTCCAAATCTTACTATATGGTATCAGAGCTTGGTGTCTCAACTAAAAAGGCAGTCGACGAACTCGATAGAGTGGTCGGAAAAGACAGACTTGTGCAAGAAAGTGACATACCGAAACTCAACTACATCAAATCTTGTTGTCGAGAATCTTACAGACTTCATCGCTATAGAGGACACAACCCTCGCAGGTTACTTTGTCCCCAAAGGTAACTATCCATACACTTTAATATAAAATATTTTAATTCCGAATTCCAACTATTGTCGCACCCACTAATTAAACTTAAGGCCAGTATATATAGTAATAATCTTTTTTTCCCGTGTTATGTCTATCAAAACAATGTACATTATGTTTATGAAGTAAAGAAAAATATTTAATCAATACCGCTATTATATACGCCGCTTAGCATCCATAACGGCTCTCGTTGCTCATATACTAATCACATAAATATGCTTCAACAACAGGCAGTCATGTGATGGTGAGTCGGGTCAACCTAGGTCGGAACCCTAAGACTAAGATATGGGAGGATCCTGACGTCTTCAAGCCGGAGCGCCACATCAGCGGGGATGGGTGGTCAGAGGAGGTGAGTCTTATGGAGCCTGAGATGCGGTTCGTGACGTTCAGTACAGGTCGCCGAGGTTGCATAGGTGTTAAGATCGGGACATACATGATGGTGATGTTGTTGGCTAGGCTTCTCCAAGGGTTCACTTGGAGCCTCCCTCCGGATCTGTGTCGGGTCGAGCTCGTGGAGTCGGTGACCAGTTTGCTCATGGCTAGGCCTCTGGTTCTGTCCGCGGAACCGAGGTTAGCTCCGCATATGTACCCGCAATTTCGCAGCTGAAGAAAGCTGCCCTTTCCTCTATCAATTTAGTTAATATGCGCAAAGAAATGAATAAATGTGTGCGGATCTGGCCGTACAATTATGCCACTATTCACTAGATTTTATTTATTTTATAATTATTAAACATATAATTATTTTTATTTATGTTAGGCTCTTTTTGGGTTATAAAATCTGAAGTTAAAAAATTCGGTTTGTTAGACGATTAAAAAGTTATTTGTGTAAGATATGAGCCACGTATACGAAGAGGGGGGATAAATCATAAAAGGCTGATATAGACCAAATACCTAAATATTTTAGGATATTTAAAATACAATATGAACTAATAAAAAAAATCATCTAGGTTTAAAACCTAAAATTTTATATGCACGTATGCGAACCTAAACCTGTTTTTAAAATCAAAGAATTAAGGCCTCATAATTGTGGGGTGGGCCCAATGGGTCATGTGATTGAATGGGTCTGGTTGGTATGTTTCCAATGGACTGTTTCTTGAAAATTTCGAAATCAAATTAAATAATAACAGTAATAATAAAAATCCTAACAAAAAATTGCAAATTCAGGTTTTATTAACAACGTATTTTCTCCCCAATTGAAAAAAAGGGGATGCGAATTGGGATGTGATCGACCAGTATCATGTCAACGCAGTATCTGATGCTGCCTCACCTCTAAAGTTATCCTAAAAACTCCCTTTTTCTTGCCACTCGTGTGTATATGTATGTATGTATGTATGTATGTATGAAGAAACAATACAACAAATATTTAGTGCAATTAGTTTAAGCGTAAGTGTAATTTATGAGAGCAATATTCTCTATTCAGAAAGAAAAAGAAAAGCTCAGTTTCCGAATTCAATTACTCTCGTCTCTCTCTCTCCGGATGGGCAATCTCTTTCGAAAGAGCAGAAGCAGGACGACGTCGTTTCGAGGGCCGCCGTCCTTGTCGACTTCCTCTTCGTCTGCAGCCGTCGTTTCAGACAGCGCCAAAGCCGAAGCCAAGAAGAAGTACGGTCTCATCCCCGACCGTTTCTCTTCCCTCGACCAGGTTCTTTCCTTCTCAAAGTTTCCATTTTTTTTTGTGGGTTTTTTTTTCACGAGTATAATCGGCACAAAGCTTGCTTGTTTTTGTTTGGGGTTGAATTATCTGCTGGAATCGTTCGATTTTCCTTCCTCTTGACTTATGATGCTCTGCTTCCATGTTCTTGTGTTCTTTAAGTTGACTCGGTCTTCAAGTCAACTGTCTCCAGACATACGTACACTCGTACATAATATATGAATATGCATTTTATTGCCTAAGTATGATTATGACAGGTAACCCAAATGCATCCTTTTTCTTATTCACATTTCTTTCCAAAAAAAAAATGTCAAGAAACCCTTCTCTTAATAAAAAAAACAAAAACAAAAAAAAGAGCTGTGTTTCGTAAGATAGAAGGATCAGTCAGGCATTCGATCGAGCGAGCAACCCGACCTGGGTTGAGTTCCAAGACTGTTGGAAAGGTGAAAGCTATGTGAAAAATTCAATATTTCATGAGAAAATTTCTGGCCAGCAGTTGATATTACAAAACGAACAATGTGGAGAATCCGTCAACAAAGGGCCCTTTTATGGAACCTATATTTCTTATGGAGATCAGAGTGTCAGATGAGATTTGTGAAAGTTATGTGATTGCCCTTTAGTTCAAATGCTCCGATTTGGTTGACATGAATGAAAACAGTAAAGGACAAGACTGCATTCCAACTATGTCCTTAGCTTAGTAAGGAATCTGATGCCTTCCTTCTTGTCATTGCCAGAAAGCTAAAAGATAATGCTTGTGTTTCTTTATGCATCTTCTTCAGATGAACACTCGCAGTTTACAGTTTAGACAATGGAAATATAAGAGATGAGTACTTGGGAGTGGCTAACATTATCAGAAAAGCTGCTTGATTCTTGAAATGTATAGAACTGATCTCTGGCTACTTCTGTATCGATTTGCAGGTATCGAAAGCTCTGAGAGAGACGGGTTTAGAGTCCTCCGATCTCATTCTCGGTATCGATTTCACAAAAAGCAACGAGTGGACAGGTATTTTGTAGCTTATTGCACTCTCAGAAATAACAGCTTCCTGCAAAAAAAAAAGGATCCGGGCCATGGATTTACATTGGATGCTAAGCCTTTTTCTCCTGTTACTCTTCATGTCGAAAGGAAAAGCTTCGTTCGATTGGCAGTCCCTGCACGCTCTCGGGGATGTTCCAAACCCGTATGAGAAGGCAATCTCTATAATTGGGAAAACATTGGCACCCTTCGATGATGACAACTTAATCCCCTGTTTTGGCTTCGGAGATTGTGAGTTCATCAACTTTTGTCTCTTCTCCCTCCATCTCTTGTTGTCTCAGATATGCGGATACGAATTCTGACTCGCGTTTTTTCTGCAATCCCCAGCCACGACACATGACGAGAATGTGTTCAGTTTCCACAGTGATCATTCCCCGTGCCATGGCTTCGAAGAGGTCTTAGCATGCTACCGAAGAATAGTTCCAAACTTGCGTCTTTCAGGTCAAAGACTTTCCCTCTGATCTATCACCGTCCCTTGTACCAAATCAGCATCTACTCTGTTTCATAGAAGAATCATGGCCTTCGATATGAAAGCTTCTTCTATCTTTCCATGTTAAAGGGCCTACAACTTACGGACCGGTCATTGATGCCGCCATTGACATAGTTGAGAAGAATGGAGGCCAATTCCATGTTCTGGTGATCATAGCAGATGGTCAGGTAACGGTTCAAGTCTCGATATCGCAATCTGAAAAAGAAATAAAGAGAAGTGAGCTTACCTTCTCTGTTCACTTCTCTGTTCGAAGGTGACGAGAAGTGGCAAGACGAGCCAGAGTGAACTCAGCCCACAAGAGGAAGAAACGATTAACGCGATAGTAAATGCAAGGTTGATCATACAAAAAGAACAGAATCCGGGTTTATCGAGATTCATTTCCTGCCTTTCATATGCAATTAGATCCAGGAATCTAAACCATTTCTCGTGTACCTTATCCGCAGCTCGTATGCTTTGTCTATTGTGCTTGTTGGAGTCGGAGATGGACCGTGGGAAGACATGAGGAAGTTTGATGACAAGATCCCCAAGCGAGATTTCGACAACTTTCAGGTACCTCAGCCGCTTCCAAGTCTCAATCTCTGTGTTTTTTTAGTCCTGTCTTGTTCATGTTTTTGCCCTCTGTCAGTTTGTAAACTTCACAGACATTATGACGAAATATTCTACTGAACCTGAGAAAGAAACCGCCTTTGCTCTTGCTGCTCTAATGGAGATTCCGTTCCAGTACAGAGCAGCCATGGAACTCCGCTTACTTGGGTACTCCTCATTCTCTTTGATCTTAACCATGTCCCTGAAAACAAAAACAGAACAGAACAGACAAGTTGTGTTTCATTCTCGTCTAGCTTCTGCTACTGACCTGATTCGATTTTCTGCTTCTGATTGAGAAGGCAACAGACAGGAAAAGCAAAGAAGGTAGTTCCGAGGCCACCGCCCGTCCCATACACGCCCCGGCCTCTCTCGGCTAATTCCACACTACGATCACTTTCCTCGGATGAATCTACCCAGGTGAAATAATCACAACCCGTCCCGTAATTTGGCGAATCTACCATCGGGTCTCATATGGTTTCGGGTTTTACAGGCTTGTCCGATCTGCCTGACCAATGCAAAGGATGTGGCTTTCGGCTGCGGCCACATGGTGAGTTTCACTTTCACCCATTGAATTCCCCGTTTTTTGCTACGATAACTTGACGAGTCGTGAGAAAACCCACGGACTTCTCTCTGGGAATTCGCAGACTTGCGGAGATTGCGGGTCCAGAATATCGACCTGCCCTATCTGCCGACAGCGTATCACCAGTCGGCTTCGGCTTTACACCTGATCAACACAAACAACATTCTGAGCATAACAAAACACTTGCACATACTTGTCTTTTCTCCGACAGAGCATATACCGGAGTTATCAGGCTTCTCCTCTGAAACACTTTCCGTAGTCGATATGTGCCGTGAAAGGCCTAAGAAAACCATTTCTCTGTAACAAGAATGGTGAACCAATGTACATGTTTAGATTATACAGTTTCGTTATTTGTAATAAAATGTTAGAAAAGTGAAAAACTTTGGAACTAGAGGTCCAAGTACAAAAACAGATACGATGAGTGCATAATAGAGTGCATTGATCAAAGGTTCCACTGAGGGATTTGTACAAAAAGTTCTTCTACGAATTCATCCTTATTGGGTTTTGATCGTCGTCTCTGTGTCTTCTGGCTTCGAGACTGGTTGGATTCTTTGGTAAGGCTTCCTGGTAAGGGTCTCTCCCCTCAGAGCAGCTACATAACGGTCATTGGTGTCTTTCTTCTCCTTCAACTCATTGAGATATTCAGCAAGCCTCTCTTGGTTAACTTTGCCCATCATCTGGTCATCGATTACAGAAAGATGTCTCAGACAACAGAAGATAACAGCCAGTATTGACAAAACACACTGCAAACTCATCAACACTACAAGGCAAGGAAGAGCTTCAACGAAGGAAACATGTCATTCCAGCACCTTAACTGCCGAATCCATGACTCAATCCGACATGCTTTCTATCTTAACAAAACCCTAACCCATCACTAACAGATAGATCCGACAACATTTGCCAGAATCAAAACATCTCCAAGAAGTGTGATCGAAGATAAATTTCAGTGCTTTAACAGAAGAGCACACGCCACAAGACAATCACGAAACAATAACAAAACCCATTGATGATCGCGAAATTACAGAAGTTTTCCCAATAATACTGGAGGAATTAGACAAGAAGAGATGTACGCACGAGGGATTCGGGGCGGGCGGATTGTCGGAGTCGGGCCTCGAGCTCAGGGTTGCGGGAACTGGTAGCCTGCATGACGCAATAGCCGATGACGCCCGGAATGACGCCGCAAAAGGTGGCGAATGTGAAGAAGAATGATCTGGAGTCCCTCGTCTTCCTCACCAGCCATCTCCATGTCTCGCTTTTCTCCCACAAGAAAGACATCTCTCTCTCCCTCCTCTTTCTGTTTCTAGGGTTCTTTGATGAGGTTCGCATTTTAGAGAAAATGCAAGGAAGTCCTATAATTATTTACAATTACTTTCATACCCTTCATATTTGGTTATTCTCTTGCATCGACTGAAAACTAATGTAATATCTATTTAGCCCTTTGCTCTCGGAGGGGAAACGGACTAAACTGTTGGAAAATAAATCTGTATTTTGTTATTTTGTGATATAATAAGGCCAATTTAGCAAGAAATTAATAACATACTTCTGTTTTTATTATCTAAATGAATAATTAGAATTTTCTTATTTGAGTGAGGAAGAAGAGTTAGTTACTTTTTTTTTATAAACCACGAGTATCTAAATGACGATCATTTTTGTACATTCAGACTAATCCCGTTTTTTAGATCTTCAAAGAGTTCATTACTTTATCGTACAACAAATTCAATAAAAAATATATTAAATAAAATATTATTAATTGACTAGTTTAAGTGAATTCGAATATTAATTTTTATAGTTAGTAAGATAATATTAAAAGCAACAACCTTTACAAAAAAAAAAGATAATATTAAAAGAAAAGCATTATAATATATATGGAAAAAATAATATATGTAATGGTATTTTAGTTGTCACACGATTTATCTAAAACTTTCCATTATACATCCAAATAAAGAATTGAAAATTTGATAAATTTCGTGAAAATGGAATATACAAAAGAAATACATCGAAAAGCGATGAACCAACAGGAACCTTACTATAATCATACAAAAATGTTAGATAAATTATTGCTGACTTACATAAAAGTACAAAACAGGACACGTCACGGTGAGTCATTAGGATAAACAGAATTATAAGAACACATATTCATATTGATTATAATAATTAATCACTATAGGCAATTTGAACATAAATTATAATATAATATTAGATAGATACAAAAGAAAAATGACAAAAACTGATTAGTAGTGTGCATTGCCTTTCATGGTTCCATGGCCGCCAAATCTTTTCTATAACCAAAAGGGTGGCAAATGATTTAATTATAGTTTTATTATAAGTACATATTCATTTAAATAAAAAATCTTGTTTTTTACTTTTGTTATTAAGGGAGATAAAGTAAAGCTTACATATGGATGCTGATCATATAATATCTGTATATAGCAAATCCAATAGTGATATTCCTCCTACTTCACCTATAAGGAATTCATCATGGTTACAGTTAGAGGCAATATGCCATGCAGAAATAAAACTGAATATAAAAAATCGAAAAAACAAATTATACATAAAATTCATATAAACCAATAGTTGTGTTCAAATGATATTTATGCATGGATCTGATTAATTCTCGAATACATTTATATTTGGGTCGAAAATCTACTAATAGTAAAAAAATTATTTTTTATAATAAAAAATTGATAGGATCACACGTAAATAGATCATTTTTTAGGCAATTAAATTTAGAAGAAAAAATAACTAATAAAATACCGAAAATTTATATGATTCGACAGAATATCTATCTTAAACGCCAATAGCAGAAAGATTTATATCAACTCTCAAACAAATATAATATTTTTATTAGTTATAAAGAGAAAATAATTTTAATTGTTTGTTACAATAGAAAAAATAAATGCTTAAAAATAGTAAAAGAATAATTTTTTTATTTTGCATTTTTTTTCTCAATCTTTCTTTTGTATATATTTTTTTTTTGGTTCTGTTTGGATGGTTTTTGTCCTTTCCCGTCTCGTCAACCCCATTTGCTTCTTCAAAATTTTGGCCACCAACCTTTGACTATTGCAAACGTGGTTTTGGTTTCAACTCTTTTATTCAAAGCTATCACCTTCGAAATTTATTACCTTGCTACATGTGAATGCCATGCATAATTAGTTGTGTTTAGGATTCCATTATCTATTTAACAAATTTTTTTAAATAAAAAAAAATCAGCCCAGCTAATTATAATGATAACAACACCCCACGTTTGTTTATATATTCACTATTTTTTTTTACATCAATCGATTTTGACGCACTAACGAAATCTACAATTAATAATCAACCCGAATCCGTAATCATCAAGCAAGAACTTCATAATCATCGCCATCATCATGATCAAGATCGTTGTCCCTTTGCCTCTCCTTGGACTCTTCCTCGTCCATGGTATCGCAAAGAACACTTCCTCTAGTCTCCGGCAACCCGACGACGAACAAACCGAACAACCCTATCGCCAAACCGAACAGTCCGTACGACCAGAAGTGGTTGTCCCGACCAGCCGCCACCATCACCGGCGAGAACACGCCGCCGAGTACTAAAGCTTGCCTCACCATCGCTATCGCCGAGTTCCTCACGCACGTCGGGAACAGCTCAATCGTGTATATCAGCTCCATGTTGAAAGCTGAACATGCACTGAAGAACGAAACCAGCTCCAGCACTATCTGTAATAACCCGTGAGATATGTCGAAATGATCGAGAACCACTATGAGAATGCTCGAGATTCCGCTCAAGGCGGTGAATCCTATAAGGGCGTTTCGTCTGCTGAGCTTGTCGATGAAGAAGAACGTTATCAGAGAAGCCGGCAGTTCGGACAGAGCATTAAGCGTGACACCCAAGTAAAGGTTGAAGTTCAGATTGGTTAGGGCTAATGGCATTCCGTAGTAGACCACTCCAATGCCGAATCCGACCGCCATAACTGCGGATAATCTTCTCAGAGACCATTTTTTCTGGACAAGGGACTTCATTGCTGCGTAAACGTCTAAGTTGGATCCCTCTTCTTGCTCGAATGGCAAGTTTGAGAAGCTCATTGTGACGAGACCGCCATTTCTGTCAGTAGGAGCAGCTATGCTTCGAAGGATCGAAACGGCTTCTTCTTTACGACCCTTTACGAGAAGCCACCTCGGAGATTCGCGTACGAAGATCCAGACCAGAAAGCAGTAAACTATGGTCGGAATCGATGTCCAAAGGTAAAGAACCCTCCAAGATCTTCCCTCGTTGATGTAACCCATGAGGGGGAGGGACAAGAATCCTAACGTGAAGCAGAAGAAACCCATCACACCGACTTGTCCACGCCATTTCTTCCCGACCAACTCCGTCGATAAAACGAGAGCACACGTCCCGATCGTGGCACGACCGAATCCGTTGACGAATCTCAAGAAGGCGTAAACCCATATGTTCGTGGAGAAAGCCGTCAACATCGATGAAAAAGACATCATGAGACACGACAACAAGAGCATGTTTTTCCGACCTAGCGATGAGTCGGCGAGGGTCGCCAAGATCGAGCCACCGATGAGGCACCCGAAGAAGAACGACGAAGCCGGCAAGCCCTTGACGAGCGAACTCGCGCATTGTAGGCCCCACTCCGATATGATCGACACGTGCGGGGAGAAATCCCAAGACCAAGCGTTTTCAGGTAGGCCACAAACCTTGGAGGTGGTGAACGAGTCGCAGACCGAGTCGACTCGGCCTGCCATGGTGCAGTGCCATGAGGGCTCAGCGTCGGTGAAGACGGTGATGAATGTCTGTTGGGCATCGAAGACCCAGGCCGAGGAGACTAGAGCAGCTTGGAGGAATTGAGCCCACCCGAACCGGCCGATGCACCGCTCGATCGTTGAGTCGAGCGATCGTGGCGGCGGGAGCGGTGGAGGCGGCGGTGGGGGCCTGAAATCGGACGAGTCAGTGAAGGAATCGGAGAGAAGCGGCCGAGTCGATCCGGCCATAGAGGAGAGAGGCTTCCCTCTTTTTTTATTCCTCTCTAAATTTTTCTAAAACGTTCGTGAGGTGTATAAGAGGTGAGTATGGTTGTCCTCTATTTATAGAGGAGATATCATGACGTTTGAATTCAATCTCTATATATAGAATAGACTGCTAATGGTTATATCTTTTCACTAATATATCTATCTATTAGTATTCCATGTACTTTGAACACGTATCGTTTACATATATATATATATAAAGCAGTCGATCTTTATATACCAAAAAGGAGTAATTAATCGTTTTTTGACCGAATAATCCCAAATGATTTGGAATGTTTGACAATGAAGAGATTTGTAATTTTCTTAAATTGTTTGAACGATGTGTACAATTTGAGATTTGTAACTGGGCCAAAAAACTTTTAAAATATTCTTATATATTAATGTTTAGTATGTATATGATATAATATATATGTGCGAATATGTTGATAATGGGCTATTGGAAATAAAAGGTAATGGATTATAATGCAGCCGCTGTAAATTGGCTGGTGACATTAATTAGCTTGTGACTCGGATCCAACACGCCATGTGTTGGATGGCATATACACACTCCCCGAATACAACATTTAAAATCAAATAAGATTTTTCTACGAATCTGTTATGTGTATGTATAATCAAATTTTTATATATAATTACGCGTAAACCTATCGTTACAAGTGTTAAATTCAAATAAAATATAAGTTTTCATGCTATATTTACTAAGCGATATGCTTAGATAGCAAAGCTCTTTAGATTTTGTGATTTGTGCAAAGGTTACTTGCTACAAGCTATTCCTTAATTTTTATGGGTCTTAAATATTGATAATATATTTAAAATATATGTATTCCCATAAAATCTATATATAATTGAAATATTAATTTCGATAATTCGACCGACTAAACTAAAACAATAGAAATTTAAATAAAATAATTAAGAAACGAATCTCCAACTGATAGAGTTTCTGAATAGAACCACTAGTAATGCAAAAAAGGTCCACATCTCAAGTTGTAAGATGACAGGGTATGGAACCACAACTAGGATATAACCATGTCTTTGTGTCAAATTTAGTTGTCCATATGTATTTTGTATCTTAATTTGCTAAATATTGCTATAATGGACGGACCTAGCTATTTATAAGAAAATGGTGTCCAATGCCCCCAGTTTCAAATTAAAAATATAATTTCATTACAAATTTTATAAAATTTTGATTAATCGCATTAAATACCCCCATAATAAAATTAAATCTATTCTTACCATGCCCCTAATCATATATATTTCTAGGTCCGCCTATAACTGTCTTTTCGTTTTATTAATTATATATGTTAATGACGATCTGGTTGCGTAATCGATCTTTATGTAACAAATTTAACATCCTGTGTTCAATTAAACATGACAATTTTTTTGGAAAAATATATTCAAATTCTAATAACCCATATATATATATGAAATTAAATGATCATCTTATTTAAAACTTCTTATAAAAATATCCTGAGATAGGCGGCAGCCGTCTAGTGTGTAATTATTAATAATAGAACATCCAATTTGAGGATACTTAGCAGTTAGCACACGGAATTGTTCGTAAGTTTTCATTTTCGTCCGACTCTATCGAATACCCACAACGCGCCTCTCTAATATAATTCACAACATCATATTCACATCCATTAATCCATAAAATAAAATAAATAGAATATTTGTTGACGAAAGTTAGCATCGACAAATTTACGCATATAATATATATATATATATATATATATTGGTTGATATTAAGAAAATCCCAATTGTAGAAAATTTTATACATAGACAACAGAATAATAAAGGGTAAAAAAATATTTCTAAATTTTCGTATAAAACGTTAACAATTACGGTTTTTTTTTATATTATTTTTAGATTCTTATGCACACACACTTTTGAACAAATAGAATACAAATTAGCATGTTTTTAGGACTATTATCCCCTATTTATTGTGTTAATCACAATAAATCTATTAAACTCAAACCTTCTGAGACGGTTCGTCTAAAACTTGGAACGTGCATGGAGCCTAGGACTGATCTCATTATAAATTAAACCTCGCTAATGTGATTTAAATATAGTTTCAGCTTAATTATAAATTAAAAATACTTTATAAATTTGTTATTGTAATAATATAATACAAAAAAAGTTGGATCAGCGGCAAGTGCCAAGTGGAATAGATAAGCTTTAACTTCGCTTTCCAATTGAAGTTGAAGATATCTATCCTCTTTGTCATCTGGAGACTTCTTTTTTAGGTTCTATTTCTCTTCCAAGTTCCAACGTGGAAAACTTGGACCGTCATTTTTGTCTATCGGAATCTATAGTTTATGATTATAATATATATATATATATATATATATATATATATATAAACAATATTAATAGCTATCAAGGACATGGTGGGTAGGTACAATTAAAACAGAGAAATTATGGTAGGCCTACTTCGGATCCATTGATCCTGCATGAATCCGCAATATCTTAATTTGAATATATTATTGGAAATGAATAAAATAATTAAATAGTAATTCCAAAAAAAACCTATTCGTCAGCCTTCTAATAAGCAATTTTCGTATTCCTTATTATTTGGGCTTAGATTTTAATTTAAGATTTAGTTTAACAGAATTTTTATTTTGAAAAACAATAAATTTGTATTTCAAATCACTATTTTAACAGTTTTTATTATATTTTTGGGTATGCAACAAATTACCAAAAAAAGTGTAATATGTGATATTAGAAAATCGTCATGACCAATTGATTTAATAAGACCATCGGTGTGAAAAACTCAGTGGGCCATATTGTAAGCCCAAATACCAAGCAATTTAAATAGATGGGCTTTTAATTGGGCTTAATCTATGAGCGCCGTACGGACAAACATTCTCCTTAAATAATTTACAAAAAAAAAAAAATACTTATTTCTCTGATTAGGAAGATGGGAAGTCCAAATATTATCAATGATCATTCATGTAATACCCATTTGTGATTCACTGAATTAGCAACATTTATATTAAGAATATATACAAAATATATAAATATTATCATTTAGATTATAAAATATTTATTTGCTTGGCCGCCGATGGGTGATCTAGTGAGTTATCAATCCAAAATACAATATGGAAACACAAAAAAAAAAATATTAGGAATACAATTCCAATAATAGATAATTATAACTCTCGGTAACTTTATAATTTTCAATAAGTTTCAATTAAAATAAATATGGTGTTAAATTTTATTTTTTTGAAGGAGAAAACAAAAGGGGTGAGAATATATAAATCAAAATAGACAAAGAGGAGGAGAGGGGGGACAAAAGAAGCTTCCGGACTGTACTTTGTCAAGAGAACACTCAACATCAATACCTCAAAAGAGACAGTAAAAAAACAAAACAGAACAATAAAAAAAAATCAAAAGAAAAAAAGAGGAAGAATTGTATGAGCGAAAACTAATAATAATTTTTTTTATAAAAAAAATAACAGAATCCAAAGATGAAATTGCAATGAAGTGCCTACACTACAAATGATTAGATTGCAAAAAATTGTTTCTATTTCTTTCATAGAAGTATGTGCATGGAGACCATCCATCCACGAGACCGACCGCGACCTTTATCACTTTTGATTATAAAAATAATTACTTTAAATTTGCTTAATGATCATAATATAATGACCATATCATATATATAACGCGGAGAAAAACTTTATTTCTTTAACATTAAACTATACAAAATTAAAGCCTGCTATATAACGTATGATCACATGTTTTTGCATGTGAAATGTGGAAGATTAAAGGCAAGAGGGAAATGGGTCATCAGAATATGCACGCCCTTTGTTATAACTCGACCTGATTTATTTCATGGAAAATTCATCAATCATGCTCATATATATTAATTATAATTTGTATGATTAATGTATAATTTAGTCTTTGGAGCAGAAGAATTATTGGGACCGTACGTTATTTACATTTTGGTGAAAAAAGGGAAAATATAAAGAGAGGGGGGAATGTGGGGGACGCAAAAAGGAAGAGAAGCTTCCTCGAGAAGAGGAGAGACATGGGAGTGCGTTTATTCCCTTCATCTTCAACTCTCTCTCCCTCCTATCTTTTTGTTTTTCTGTAGAGAGAGAGAGAGAGAGAGAGAGCTTTTCTTTATAGATGCCAACTCGCAGTGATGACCAGATCTCTCTCTCTCTCTCTCTTTCTCTCTCTCTCTCTCTCTCTCTCTCTCTCTCTCTCTCTCTCTCTCCCTCTCTCTCTCTCTCTCTCTCTCTCTCTCTCTCTCTCTCTGTAAAGAAAATTACTCTGTACGTATTCATGTCCTTGTGAATGAATCTATCTTCTTCTTTGCTGCTGCAGCCTATATATAGATATCCCATTTTCACGTTTTCACTTTGAATAACATTAATTTTGTAATCAATATATGTTATATGTATAGCATAACAACACTGAAAAGACACCTAAGATGCAACGCAGAAATTTGATTATAGAATGTTTCCAATTTGGCCATTCATTTCATAACGCATTTGTCGCGCTACATTTTTTTAGTGCAAAAGAAAATAGACACATGAATGTGTACACTGATCAATTTCTTATTGTTAATTTTTCAGAATATGGAAAAATATAAATGAAATGTTGAAAAAAAAATAGAGTTTTATTGAGATTAATAAGATTTTTTTTTGGAAGATCATCAGGCCATTAAGAGTACTCTTAATTATTTTATGGGTATTAATTAGATTTTGCAAGAGTAAGAAAACAAATATAATTGATTAACCACACTCTTATTTGTTTCTTTATTTCTCCCAAAAGATTCAAAAGGAACTAAAGACTAGTTTTCGCCACGAAGTTCAAAATGTTTCCGGATATCTTTCTCCATCAACATAGGATACCAAGCAATAAAGAAGATCCAAGATATAGAAAAAAAATTTAATAAATGTATTATTTAGAATTAACACAATATGATATAACTCGATAGAAATATATAAGCTGATCAATGGGAAAACTAAAAAGATTTGAAATTCAATATTGAGTTCATATACGTGATTAATCAAGTAAATTGGTGTAGAACACATTTTTATATAAAATATTAATATGTATTGTTCCTATAGATTCTGTAATAAAAGAATGTTAATTAATAGATAGTGTTCATCCAAATGTGCGAAGAGATCCCGCTAATTAAGACACATGTAGTTCATAAAAAAACGGAGATATATATATATATATATATTAAGCTATATATAAAATGGACATAGATATTTGTATGTTTATTACATTGTTGGCATGTTTGCTTAGAAAACAGATATCCTACTCAAACAAAGTCGTGTATTTGCGAAATGGTCGTTTAGCTTTGATTTGATATATATATATATATATATATATCAAATCTCAAAATCAATCCAATGGGTATGCTAGATATTTGTTTAAAAACCGGTCATATGAAACAAAAGAAGAAAAGAATAAAGAATAAAGAAATATGCATGAAAAATATTGATACTCAGTGTTTGTTTCTCTAATGGGAAGTTTATTTCCTCCATCTTTATCTCTTTCTAAAAGGAAGTTGTAGCTTATCAACCTCTACACTATATACACACATATATATATATATATATAGGGTTGGGTCATTCTTTCAAAGTTATATATATTTTCGATCAATTTATATCAAACTCCTGTAAAAATGAAAATATCCGCACATGTTAAAACTTTTCCGTGAATACAAATTTTAGAGGTTCTGTGCAATTGCACATGTTGTACACTTTCATAGCTGGTTATATATATATATATATGTGTGTGTGTGTGTGTTGCATATGCATATTTACATGTGTGTGTGCATTTTCATGCAGAGATTTGTACGAAATCAAATGATTTGTAGTCAGTCTCTAACAAAACATTACCAGCTTTTTGTTGTTGTTTGCATGTGGTTTCCCAAAACCCTAAAACCTTTTGCTTTGATGGGGATCATCATCATCATAACTTGTTCTTTCTTTTTTCTTTGTTTACTTTTTTTTATATGTTTTTTTACCATATTCTTCTTTTTTTTAATTTTTTTTTTATTTTCCCAATGCACCTAATTTCTGTGTAATCCGACATAGGTGACAAGTACAAACTAACTCGAGAGGCATAACTAACTTCACCATGAAAAAAGCAAAATCCTCGAAAAGCTTCGTGCATGCCTTGAAATTCGAGCAATCTAACGTTATTTGACCATAGACGTGCGTGCATGGGATATGGCGATTATATAGTATATCCTCGAACTCAAAATATCTATTATAATATATTCTTTGGACTGAAGTTTACACAATCAAAATACTGTTGTTAGTGCAAATATAAGATATTATTTCATATAGAGACAAAATATTTATTTTATGGGCATGATTGTAAGATTCTAATTAGATACCTTCACATGAGTACAAATATAGTGACAAAGCTTTTACATGTTGCAAAACTTCTACGGCAATTCAGAAATTACTGTCAAATAGTTGTCACTATCACCTCCAAAGCAACGGTTATCAGGAAATATTCACTCGAAACATTAGTGAAAATTCCATTATATAATGTTGGAATGAAATTCTATACCACCGTTAAATAAATAATAAACTCTAATCGATGTTCACGTAAAATCAACAAATCAACCCTAGAGTGCAAAGAGAGTCTAATGAATACATATATTATAACAACAAATCAGTATCGTTACAACTCCAACAACAAAAAATAACATCAACCGCACAAGAGTTTAATTGCTCCTCATTGCGAAACCTCTAACTTCATGAACGATATATATATATATATAGATCTCGTTCACGATTTCATGACGACTTAACATCGATCTATTAATAACAAATCGATTACGTATCTCACCCAAACGGCGAGGTCCTTCCTTGTGCTGACATCCCACCATTAGGGTTCATCATAGGGCTCAATGGCGATCTTCTAGGAGAAGGCCTTTCGGGTAATTTCCCACCATTTGCTTCAATCTTCTTCTCACACAATCCATCTCCCGACAAACCAGACTTCGCATTGTAAATATCTGACAGAGAATCCAAATCCGGTGAAACATGTGAAGCCATCTGAATCTGGATCTGATGTTCGTCGAGCTGGCAAGAAGAGGCCGGTGGGAGTCCGAGATCATGCAGCCGGCCGAGATGATCTTCCGGCCACATCAACATGCTCTTTCCGACATCTGTACCAAAAGGGTTCGGTCCCTTCTTCCCCAAGTAAATGTTGGTATCCGCTCCGGTGGTGAAATTGTTCTCTATGTTTTGACGAAAATGCTGGTCGAGTTGATCGGTGTTTCCGTATATATTGAGGTCTTGAAAGGGTGGGAAGCTGAGAGGAGGTGGGCCCGAGGCTGGGAAAGCTGAACTAATTCCCAAATTGCCCTTGTATCCTCCTCCTCCTCCGGCTACTGCTGCGGCCGCTGCCGCCATGTTCTCGCCGGCTAGTGTTTGGCAAGCTTTCTCCAATATGGACTGCATGTATTTTCCTTGTGCTTCAATCCTTAGTTGAAGGTGTCGTTGCACCTGAAAAATAAATGAGATACGTACATATGTATATTTAACACACCATTTTTATATGGTATTAATTAACTTAATTAATCAATATTTTTTTTTGGTATTAGCGAATACGTACCTCTAATTGTTCGTGTAACCTTCTCTGCACTTCCATTTGCATCCTAATTGCATCAACCATGTGTGAGTTGCTGCTTATGTTACCGTTTTCAACATACACACGATTTTTTCCACACAAGAACAAAAACCCTTTGGTGATTTCTCACGCAAAATTCAAGATTATATATATATATATATATATTCACTGACTAAGAAAAATATTTATATGTTACACACCTCTATATATACATGCATATAAACATATATAGCACCGAAAATTTATAAAAGAAGAAGCAAAAGTTAGATAAAGAACATACTCGTTCATGCTGTGCCTCATCATGCCGGAGGACGAAGCAGTGTTCCGGTGAAGATCCAACGCCGAAGCTGAACCAATAAAAATTGCATCAACCATGTGTGGCATGCACATATATATGTGTATATATATGGATATATGTATGTATGCATGTAGTTCACCAATAGACAATAGAAGAAACCCTAATTCAAAGAATTCACCTCTCGGGCCGTCCTTTGCGGAGTGATCATTGTACTCTTTATGCGGCTGCTTTCCCAGTCTGAATTTCTGAACCCAGAGATAGAAAAAGAAACTGTTATAATTCGATATCATAATCCATAACTACCCAAGAAAAGAAAAGAGGAGAGGATTATAAGTAAAGCATGTAAAGTTGAAACAAAACCCTAATAAATATATGAAACAAAAGCGCAAAGGCAAAGTTACACCATTTCTTTGTATTCAGACCTGAAGATGGCTCTTTAGATGGTAAAGAGTGAGACCCTTCACACCCATAACTCTCATGATCGTCTTCGGAGTTGCCTCTGCAAAAAAAAAAAAAAAAAGATTCAAACTTGTCGATTAATTCGATTGATTGATTTATAACATGAAACTGTGATTGAATTGATGAAGTACAGTATAGTAGTGAGGAGGTTAAACGTACTGTCGGGGCCGCCGAGTTGGGTGACTGCGTCGACGAAACGCTCGTGGAGTTCGACTGTCCAACGCAAACGTGGTTTTGGGTCGGTGGTTAGGACAAGACCCGAATCCCCCTGAACGCACATCGGTCTGTTCTCATGAGACGATGAACTCATACTTGAAGGTTTCTTCGAATGGAACATTCTCTCTCTCTCTCTCTCTCTCTCTCTCTCTCTCTCTCTCTCTCTTCGAAAGAGGGTTTCGCAGAGAGATTCAATACAAGAGCGAATGTGATGCAAAATGGAAGAGAATACGATGCGTTTTTTAAGACATCAGATGACGGCTTCTCTCTCCCCTCTTTTTTTTATTTTTATAAATATTGTCTGTATAAAATAATATATAAAGAAAATTGGTTAATGGAATCAAAGGTTTATAGACACAAGTAAGAGAGTTAAAAGCTCAGCCTAGTACGCAGGCTCTTCCTTTGCGAAAAGATACTGTCGTGATCTTTTTCAATTTTATTTTTATTTTTCGCTTTTTAAAGTTACAAAATTTAAAAAAAATGTAATTTAATTACAGTATTATATTAAGGACACATAAACACAATTGACGCAATTCATTCCATATGGTACGAAATCTCTTTTTCCTTACCATTCTTTGTATTCACACTGCGTGATCAATGCGAGTCGAATAATAAACTCGTAAAATTTTTATTACATATAAATAAATCTCGGACAATGGAATAAGGATCATGAGTGGGAGGATAAAAATTGTTCAAAGGTGTAAAATAATAAGCAGCACATTTTTTTTTCTATTCCATTAAGATTACAGTAGATATTATTACACACACATATCATATTCATGTGTATATTATATATATAGTCGCATGCTGCAATTAAATTTCTCAAAGATTTTATGGTAGGGTAAACCTTTTTGGCTAATGATGAGCTGAATAAACCTAAGCCAATGATGGGTTTTTGAGTACACACATATACATAGACACATTTAAGAAGGTTATTATATTCTATGAATGCATAAATCTCAGCCACATATATTACAGACTAATAATGTACAAAAAATTAACTACAGTTAGTTTATTAAAGACAAAGTGTTCTATTTTGAAACAAAAATATATTTCCAGTGTTAATATTATTTCCACCTTTCTAAATAAAAGAGAAATAATATATATGTGTGTACAAATATATATACACACACACATTGCATGTAGAGACGTATACGTTCATAAAATGGTCAACCCTAATATTTATTGAGTGGGAGGTCCCATGGCATATGTGTGTGTGTGTGTATATATATGTAGCATTTTAAGAATAATTCAATGAATGTGGCTGATTGATATGTACGGACAGCATGCACAAAATAAATATGTAATGCAAGGTGGATGGGGGGAATATAATCTCAAAATTTCAAGATTTCAAATGGGGTCTTTTATTATTTTTATTTGATAGATATAAATTAGGAAAATAAATAATTTTGAAAACTATATGATAAATAGGAACAAGGAAAGTGCAGAAAAACCAAACGTATTAAGAATATGGAACCAAAACTTTAGGTTATACGTTTTGGTGGTATGCGGGGGAAGTATACATCAATGTGTAAAGGAGATGTTAACAGTTGGGGACCTCCTCTTCTACTTATTAAAGCTCTTTCACTCTTTTTTGTTTTAGAATTTAATTTATTTCTTTTACTGTTTTTTTATAATTACTTATTTTTTGTTTTTCTTTATTTTATATCATTGTTTTATTTTTGGGCAAAGCTTGTTGGGGTTACTTCCCCTTTTGGCTTTTGTAGGATTGAAGATTGTCCTTCTATATTTGATCATATGTTTTCCAGATATTGTGGATCCGATTGTTTATAAATATACAGGAGCTCAAATTTGTATTATTGTTATGAAATATACTTTTGATATATAAATCAGAATTAAGACATTTGTAGGTATAAATATATACGTATAGTGATTTGATAGTGTGTATATATATATATATATTGTGTTGTGTGCTGAAAATAAAATAGAAAACCAAAACTTTAAATTCAATTTAAATGTTTTTACCGAAATTCAAATTGGTTAGAATTCGGAATAGGAATCAATTCTTCCCCTCTTTGATGAATAAAGATAGATTCTCGTCCGAAAAATACCAAAAATAAAATTAGAACTTCCGCTATAGATGCCAATCGTATGAATATATATAACCAACCAAAATTACACAAATATTTGGTCGCTATTTAATTTATTTTTTAAAAAGGTTCGTGTCTTTTTCTTTTTCTTCACATAAATAATTAGCCACGCATTTATAAAAGAATTCACAAACATTCGAGAATACCATAATTTATTTATCACAATGAGACAGGAGAGTGGAAATTAATGAGAATGGAAACTAACTTATCTAGATATTCAATAAAAACAACAACAACAACAACAACAACAATAATAATAATAATAATAATAATAATAATAATAATAATAATAATAATAATAATAATAATAATAATAATAATAATAATAATAATAATAATAATAATAATTATAATAATAATAATAATAATAATAATAATAATAATAATAATAATAATAATAATAATAATAATAATAATAATAATAATAATAATAATTATTATCAACCAAACAAAAAAATATAGATGCGTGAAGTTCAAGCAACCGTGTGGCCTCTAGTTTTAAACCGACTTATAAATAAGTTATTGTTATATATCTTCATATTTAATTATCTTAAGTTAATCTAAAAATCATATATAATTAGCTAAAAGTGAAACATTAACTTTTACTTGATTTTTCTTTACATGCATATATATATGTATGTATATACATAGATAAACAAAAGAAAAGAATCTACAAAACTTAAATGAAAGGCTTTGTTCTACTTGACACACACACACATATATATATATGGGTGGCAAAATGTAAAGTGACTTACTATTATAATTTAAAGAATAGTTGAAGAGTTGTATACCGTTCTTTACAACCGTCAAAATCTACTTAAAATATTATTATTATTATAATTATAATTATAATAATAATAATATTTTAAGTAGATTTTGACGGTTGTAAAGAACGGTATACAACTCTTCAACTATTCTTTAAATTATAATAGTAAGTCACTTTACATTTTGCCACCCATATATATATATGTGTGTGTGTGTCAAGTAGAACAAAGCCTTTCATTTAAGTTTTGTAGATTCTTTTCTTTTGTTTATCTATGTATATACATACATATATATATGCATGTAAAGAAAAATCAAGTAAAAGTTAATGTTTCACTTTTAGCTAATTATATATGATTTTTAGATTAACTTAAGATAATTAAATATGAAGATATATAACAATAACTTATTTATAAGTCGGTTTAAAACTAGAGGCCACACGGTTGCTTGAACTTCACGCATCTATATTTTTTTGTTTGGTTGTGTTTGGGAGAATTTATTCTTAGGAAATGAATATATTCCTTCCAATTCCCTTTTTATCTTTTCCCCCAATTTGAAAATTTAAATTATTCTTTATATATGGCACACTACGTTGATGTAATGTAAGGTTAAATTACTCGATATTACACCTAATTGAACAAAATCTATACATTATTATAATAATATACATTAATCAATGCACAATGTCTCATTAGAATATGTTATGTCTATATATATTTTTCTTGAATTTGGTTTATTATTTATAAAATTACGTGTTAAATAAAATAAACACCAATGACATTCAGAGAATTTTATTTTCCTCCGTTGTGTGATATTGTCTATGTAACAAGGTTTGACACTTTTCTTAGTTATGATCTCCAAAGCAAACGTTGTCTGTATATCTCCTCTATCCACAGAGCAGGCAGTTCTATAACGTGATGACTTCTGTGGTTTTGGCCTCAGCTCCGAAACGAATTTCCCGATATCACGGTAAGGATCAAATACAGAAACATCACTGAAAATCTAACAAGTAATCCAGGGTTTATGCATTGCAAAACTGAAAAGAGAAATGGTGTGAGCTTTTTTTGTTTGTTGATAATCCGTAAGTTCACTATACATTTGGTTCAACTACATCTCCCAGACTACCGAAGAAGTACGGATGAATGACCCTTCCCACTATTAGATTTGAATCCGGGATAAGAACATATTTTTCATGTTTTTATACCACTACACCACCCAAACTTGGTCTGTGAGCTTATTTCTTGAACTGCGAACATAACGTTGAAGGAATTGCAGGAACAAAGGCTACATGTGATATACTTCGATGAAATAAAATGAGTGGAATGTAGAGAAGGGTTCAAAGATTCAATCCTGTCTCAAGAGATAAGAACTGATCAGAATGATAGGTGTAGATGAGTGTACTTTCCCTGAATATATTCATACTTGGACCCTGCCTTCCTCTTTCAAGCTCCTTAATGGAGCAACCTGCAACAATGGAGGAAAAGATATAAGCGATATGTCGCTACTACATGTTCTGTAAGTAGTCTAGAGAACGAGGTTACCATATTATGCAGAGAATTTTGCTCCTCTCTGAACAGACAGATCAAAACGGGCATCAGAAGAGATATATTTGACTAAGAAACATCCTTCCCCGGTAAATTATCTGGCGGGAAGACAAATCGCAGAGATTTGATTGCAATAGAAACATAACAGTTGCAGCCTTGCAGGAGCTACATGAAGAACAAAAACAAAAACAGAGTCTCAAATCAATCAGAAGAGAGACGAGTTGGATTCATATGGAGTAAACGCTTCATAAGCAGAGGCTATAGCATCATTAGATACAAACAAAAGATCCAAAAAAAACAAGTTAGACTGAAAGGTAGTAAGAGGCAAACATATATAGCACTTTGATTGCCTTCCTCTCATACAAATCGATCCATTTCCTACCAATCGGTATCAGACCTAATTCATATTAACAGACAGGAGTTCCTTAGTATATGCTCATCTGATAATCAGTTTACTTGATCCCTAAGATGTTTGTATAGAAGGTGATACCTATGATGGGCATATGCAGAGTTCGGTAAGAGCGTACAAGGCATGATCGCGAAGAAACGAGCTAAAACCAGAAGCATTTCAGGCTACTTACCGAGAACAACACCCATGATAACATACACCCTACTACAGACAAGAAAGAAAGAGATTTTGATTTGATCTTTTCAATTGAAGCAAACCTTCCATTTAACTAATACGGAGCCAAGAGGGGAAACCCAAAAAAAGATGAGATTTTTTTACGAGTAGATCACATGAGATCCACATTCTGCTACTTCCGCTTAGCTAATCAAGATCATAGACCCAAAGATACATACCCAATTCGCAGCTCCTGATTATCTATCTTCTAAGCAAGTCATGTTTTCCAAACATCGTGGAAAAGTTCTCCAGCAAGCCCATCTATGTCCGAATCACAAGAACACATGTCGAATTCCATCACCAAAAACCATGGAAATATGCCCAGACAAGATCAGAAACTCAAAAATTCCTACTTGCGATCCACCAGAGAAAAACCCTACGAGATCGACAGAAATTAGAAAGAAGAATTCAGAGACATGAATCAAGATCACATGTCCGATTCCGATACATGATCATCTTCTATTCAGCGAGACATGCGAAACTGAGAGAGATTTAGAGGATTTTGCCTGGCGATGCTGGAAGGATTCGGAGAACGAAGCTTAAGTGCGAGCCAAATGCGACGTGATGAGACTCCGGACACCGCCGATGGCCGCACGCGCCGGCTACGGTTTCTCACTTCTCGGATCTTCTACCGATCCGGGAGAAGAAAAGTTCGAATCTTCACTCAGAATCAGAGAATCAAATGATCAAGTATTTGAAGCGATACGCATAAAAAAACTATTCATTTGAAATATTATTATGTTTTTTTTTATAGTGAAATTTCATTTATCTTTTTCATAAAAAATTTATAATTAATTAATAGTATAATATACGGTTTCCCCTCCCATAATAACCGTATTTTCATTTAGTTGCTTTTCTGTTCTGTTCTTCTTTCTCGATATTTTCGCTCTCCCTCTCCCCAAGAATCCCCAATTCCAAGACCTCCATGACTCTCTCTCCAAAAGCTCATCTTCTCGCATAGAAACTCTCTCTCTCGCATTTCACAGCCAAATCTGAACGTTCTTCCCCATCCGTATAACATCTGTTTTCCGCTGGAATATCTTCTTGAATTCGCCAAATTATTCGCGTAATGAGTTCCATTGCGTCGTCCTCCGCCGTGGGAGGAGGCAGATCGGCGGAGTCTTCCAATGCCAATAAGATCTCGAAGCGACCCAAATGTAATTCCTCTCCCGACTCTTCTTTGTTCTTGCGATTATTTTGGAGAATCGTGTATGATTTCGTGGAACTCGCTTGATTGTCTCGTCGGGTGATCTTACTTGATTTCCTGTCTCTATTTCCTGGAATTGAATCTGCATTTTCACGCAAAACCCTTATTTTTTCCGGCCATTGGTCCATGCGATATGATCATTCTCTCTCAGAAGAATTGGGTGTTTATATAGAAACCTGATCGTAGGTTTGATCTTCCGCGGCATCGATCTACGTATCCCTCTGCTAGTACTGTTGTCTACGCGCGTTGCTCCATAAGGGAATATTGAACGTACGAGATGCATGGGTGATTCTTGCAGGGTACATTTTAGATTGGCACTATTGTGATTGAATTGCGCGTTCGTATATTTATGTGTAGACCAGATTTTGGTATGAACCAGAGGTACTGATATAGCTAGGTCTTAGTTGAAGCTCATTAGGTTGGTTGGGGTTTGACGTTTATTGGAAGTTCTAAGTTTAAGGTTTGATGTCTGGTGGATTTGAGTTTCTGTTTCTAGTTCTCTAAAAATATCCAATCTCTAATTCTTGCTAATCTGTTGTCCAATTCTTCTTCACCAGATTCAAAATTTACTCAGCAGGAGCTTCCAGCATGCAAGCCAATTCTTACTCCAAGCTGGGTAATCTTTATCACTATCATGTCGCATTTTAAGAGGAATGAATTACTTCGGTTTCACGACAGTTAAAGAATGCACTTAATTTTTCTCCTTTCTTCTTTTTTTGGGGCTATTTTGTAGGTGATTTTGACTTTTCTGATCATTGGTATCGTCTTCATTCCACTTGGAGCGCTCTGCCTCTCCGCTTCTCAGAGTGTACGAGCATGAGGCCGATTTTTCGACTTTTGATCTCTTTTCTGTCTCTGTTTTCGAGCTTCACTTGTGGTTTATTTCGTATATTTTCTTTCATACATGAAGGTTGTTGAAATTGTTGATCGGTATGACACAGACTGCATTCCCGAATCTTCTAGACACAACAAGGTCGCTTACATTCAGGGTTTAGGAGAGAAGACATGTAACAGGACTCTGTGGGTATGGATCACCTGCTATGGTAGTGTTTTTCTACTCTTTCCAATATATCAAATTTGTCACAAAGCCCCTTTTCCTTTTGTCAGGTGACAAGAACTATGAAGCATCCTGTTTATGTGTACTACCAGCTTGAGAACTTCTACCAAAATCATAGGAGGTAGATTGTGCTTCTTTTATTCCTTATCCGCAGTTGTATATGACTTCTCTTGGATCTAGTAAATGTTCTCCTACAATCATGGTCACGGTGCCCTGTGACAAATCTGGTTTGTCTGTCATGAATTGATTCATGATAATCTTGACCAGAGTTAATACAGTTCTAAACTACCATTTGTGGAGTTTTTATTTGTATCATAAGCTGTTCTAGTTTTCAAGATGAGATGTGTTTACAGTGACCACTGTATATGTTCTGTGCATACCACTGCATAGTAAGAGATTCTTGGGCAGTTTTACTTTTACCCATCCATGAAGTTCTCCTATGAGTTCAAGTCATGATTCTCTGTGGTGGATTATCTTTCAGGTATGTGAAGAGTCGGAGTGATGCACAATTGAGGGACCCTAATCATTTAAATGATGTGAGTTCCTGCGCCCCTGAAGATATTGCTTTCGGGGAACCAATCGTACCCTGCGGTCTGGTTGCTTGGAGCTTGTTCAATGACACTTACGACTTTACTAAAAACCACCAACACCTTCCTGTGAACAAGAAAGGCATCTCGTGGAAGAGTGACCGTGAAAAAAAGTTTGGGAAAGATGTTTTCCCTAAAAACTTTCAGAAAGGATCTCTGATAGGTGGCGGAAGTCTTAATCCAAATATACCGGTAAGCCTTTTTAAGTTCTTTACTCTCTTATCATCTGGTAATTGAGAATTCAGGTTTGGTTCACGTACATCCTCTTCATGTGAACTAGATGCGTTTATTGGACTTGGTAAGTTTCCAATGGCAATTGGCTATTGCTAGTAACTACTAACTAAATACTCTTGTATCTTTGGTGGCATTTATTCACTTGCTAGTTGCACTATTTGGTAGCCTTCCTTGTTACAATTTTTTTTTGGTAAAAGATAAATTTTATAGATAGTAATAGATATTTCGTATTCCTTGTTACAACTTACAATAGTAACCCAAAATTAAATCCTTTTTCTCGCCCGGTAGAAAAGGGCAATCTTTTTCCCCTGATATCTCTTGTAAGAGCTTGCAGAAACTTCGACCACGGGCTATTCAGAATGCTGGAAACTTTAACTTATACCATGTTTCGGTTGAATGAATTGGGTTTATGTAGCAATGTAAAAAAATTTGTTGTAACAGTTGAGCGAGCAAGAAGACCTAATAGTATGGATGAGAACTGCGGCTCTGCCAAAGTTTAGGAAGCTGTACGGGAGGATAGACGTGGATCTCGAGGCTGGGGATACATTGCAAGTCTTGTTAAGTAACAACTACAACACATACAGCTTTAACGGCAAGAAGAAGCTCGTGATATCGACCACTAGCTGGCTCGGCGGAAAGAACAACTTCTTAGGTATTGCTTATCTGACGGTCGGCGGCTCCTGCTTATTCTTGGCCCTCTCTTTCGCTCTCTTGTATCTCCTTAGCCCAAGGTACATTATCCTCCTCCCTTCCCTTCTCATCAAAAGCTAGTGCTCCTCAGGCATCCATTGTGTAATGATCAATGCATTTTCGTAGAATTATGTTAACTTTCCATATTTGCCATTTGTTTCGATATATGATTGAAATGGATGATGGATGGTTTATGTTTCAGACAACTTGGAGATCCGTCGTACCTGTCGTGGAACAGAAGCGCAGGAGGTGGACGTTAATACTGCACATGTTTCCTCCATTATTGATGATGTAAAAACTCATACCAAAGAGAGAAATATATGTTAGTCCATTTTTTTTATATTTACGCATGGGCATGTGTCTAGATTAGCTTTATTTATCAAAATTGATTTATTTTAAAATGATAAAATTTGATGTTATATCTTTGTCTATATGGAGAACAGATAAAGATTTGTATCAGTAGACAGTAGACAGTAGACAGAGAAGGAATATACGCACAGCCACAGGTTTTGGACTTTCCAGTTTTGGTATCCATATTTGGAATGGAAAACATAGGCATATATTTCCTCATCTGTTAATGTGTATCTATGGATATAAATCTGAGATATTTCCTTATTTTTAAATGTACACAACTGTCAAAAAAAAAAAAAACTATAAATGAAAAAGATCTGATTTATGATAAATATTACAATTAGCACAATTTTCTAGAATATTGGTAGGTTCGATTGTCGAGTTTCCCTGTAAGTCGCATTATTTTCTCTGTTTTTCTTTTTTCTTTTATATTTTTCGTTTTCTGGAAGAAATACTACTGTCAATGGTGGTGGTGACATGCTCCGGTGTGCAGAGCGGGTCGCTGCGACGGCGCTGTGGAAGGTTCAGGTGTCTTCATGTCAATCTCCTCCTCTTCCGCTTGCTCGTCTCCGATCTCAGGTTCCTCTTCTCTCTCTCTCTTTCTCTCGTTGATTCCGGCGTTTTGTGTTCGTTTGATTTGTCTCTGCGGATGATCGTTGAATTTCTGTTCGAGTTTTTAGTTTGAATTTGTCTCCGTGAATGTTCTTGGGGTTTTCTGTGCTAACTTGAGATTGAAATGACCTCGCATTGCTCTTTACTTTGATGTTTCTGCTTGGATGTGTTCTGGATTATTCCCAAGTCGAAGTTAGTGTATCACTCTTTTCGCTTCTGTTGTTGTGTTTAGTTGGTTAATTTCAAATTGGATGTTGATAGTAGCGTTGGATTTGAAGTTTTTCTGGGGATTTCTGTTGCGATTCTGCATGGACTATCATCCGCAATTTCCGTGGCAGGATTATGTATGTTTGGATTTCTGCTTTTACTTTGACCCAGTTTTTTCTTTTGTGGCTTTGATTCCAAAAGTGTCAACTGCGTACGATTTCCGCGTTATCTTTGGACTAGAATCATATTTTGTGTGGTTGTCTTTTCATGTTAATGCTCTAATCCACCGTAAATTCTCCAAAGATCATCAGAAAATCTCTGCAGATGGGACCAAATACATCCTGAAGTATAAGTGTCTTTTAATATTTGCATTAAATGCAATCAATGTTTTTCTCGTTCTGCAGCTTCTCTGGAGAGGAGATTGGAGCTCACAAGGGAGACAAGACCAAACTCAGTGGTAAACTAATCCTTGATGTTTTCTCTTTTTCGTTTTTCCTTTGATTGAGTATAAACTTCAAGAAAACAATTCTGGGCAATATACATCTGATGTTCCAAGTATGTTCAGAGTTTCGGGGACACGGAGGACAAAATTAGGAAATTGTTTGACAAGGTGGAGCTCTCAGTTTCGGCTTATGATACCGCCTGGGTAACGATGGTCCCTTCCCGGAGTTCGGAAACCACTCCCCTTTTCCCTCAGTGTCTGAACTGGTTGTTGGATAATCAACATTGCGATGGATCATGGGGTCATGATAACCACCATCAATCTCTTAAGAAGGATGCACTCTCGTCTACGCTGGCTTGCATCCTCGCTTTGAAGAAATGGGGGACTGGTGAGAGACAAGTAAACAAGGGTAGGTGTCTCGACAAAAAAAAGTTTGATTTTACTCTTGCCAATTCGTCGGATGATGAGTGTTGATTTTTTACAGGTCTCCAGTTCATTGAGTTGAACTCTGCTTCAGTCACGGATGAAACATTATGTACACCAGCTGGATTTGATATAATATTTCCTGGGATGATCGGATATGCTAGAGATTTGAATCTGAAAATTCCACTGGAAGCAGCAGTGGTTGATGCCATGATGAGGAAAAGGGATTCAGACCTCAGAAGGTATGCCTGCTCTTTTAGCGTACTTTTGGACATCTCATGTTTGTTTTTCCTGCTTCTCGTCATGGCTCTATGAAGTTTAGTGCCAGAGAGGAGTAGAAGTATTAGGAATACTACCCTGACACAGAGGATGGCCATTTCTCTCTCTAACAACAAAAACAAAGTATCTCAAAATCAAAGTTGTGTTATGAATTATACAATCCTTTGTTTCACATGCTTTTGATACTCGGTGAAAGTCACTGAGATGAGCCTCGACAAAAAGTAATCGAAAACTTTATTGATTTATGTTCGATCAGTGGTAGTGAAGGAATCTCGGAGGGAAGAGAAGCTTATCTGGCCTATGTTTTAGAGGGAATGGGAAAAATACAAAACCAGGAACTGATTGTAAAATATCAAAGGAAGAACGGTTCACTGTTTAATTCACCGGCCACAACTGCTGCATTCCTGAGTCAACTCAAAAATGATGGATGTCTCTGCTATCTTCATTCTCTCCTACAGAAGTTCAAGGATGCAGGTCTATCTATCTGCTTTCATATCATTTCCATTCTCTCTCTCTCTCTATATATATATATATATATGTATGCGTAGCTAATCTGTTTGGTTATCTATTCAGTTCCCACAGTTTATCCCTTTGATCAATATGTGCTTCTTAGCATGGTTGACACTCTCGAAAACCTGGGAATTGATCGGTATTTTAAGAACGATATCAAAAGGGTGTTAGATGAGACCTATAGGTACAAAACATTTCTCATATTTGGACTTGTGATGACGTTTTTCCAAGGTCAACTGCAGAAAACCAGATCGATCATAATTTCTGAAAATCTGTTCACCAATAAACAGATGCTGGCTACAGGGAGATGAAGAGATATACTCGGACTTAGGCACTTGCGCTTTGGCATTCCGACTGCTGCATGGGCATGGTTACGATGTATCATATGGTGAAGTGACCTCATTCTTTGAGATGCATACATCTTTACATTTATGGTAACTGTTTATGCATGGCAACATAATATGCTGTATTTATTGCAGATCCATTAGATCAATTTGCAGAAGAATATGGTTTCTCCAACTCTCTTGAAGGTCACCTGCAGGATACAGTTTCTGTTCTGCAATTGTTTAAGGCGGCAGAACGTAGCCCAGATGAATCAGCTTTGAAAAAACAAAGCTTGTGGACCAGACATTATCTGAAGACGGAACTGTCCAACTGGTCAATCACCCGAGATCAAGTCACAAACCTCAAACAAGAGGTAATTTCTTTCAGAAAAATATCTTACCATGACAGTGCTGAGATATGACGCAAACCTTAAATTATCTCAGGTTGAGGATGCTCTGGTATATCCCTTCTATGCAAATTTGGAACGACTAGCTCATAGGAGAAAACTCAAAGGTTCCAGCTTAGTAAACGCCAGGGTTATGAAGACATCGTATTGGTAAGTATATCTGCTACTTGATTTATTTTCTGTCGTATGTGCTTTTCTCCTCGCCTCCAATGTTTCATTTTGTATACTCATGAATCACTTCTGCTTGATCTTTTTCTTTCTTATTATGATAGTCTGCGCAATATTTGTGACTCTGATATCTTGAAGTTAGCTGTGGAAGATTTCAATTCTTGCCAGTCCATACACCGTAAAGAGCTGGAAGTTCTTGATAGGTGCAGTTCCGGATAACTCAACTCCTCTTTATTTGTATGCTCTCTTGGATAAGCCAAAGAATGCCACTAATAGAATCACACCTAGAGCAAGTTTCAGTTGTCTGAAAGAAGAGTGCAAGCTGAGTTTTGGATCTTTGTCCAAAATCATCATCACGTATTGTCCCTTGTTTGTTTATGTTATAATGTTGCTTGCCGACATGTAGGTGGGTTGTGGAGAAGGGAATGCAGAAACTGAAATTCGCCAGACAAAAGCTGCCTTACTGTTACTTCTCTGCGGCTGCAACACTCTTTGCTCCAGAACTATCAGATGCCCGTTTATCATGGGCCAAGGGTGCTGTTCTTACAACGGTAGTGGATGACTTCTTCGATATCGGAGGCTCTAAAGAGGAAATGGAAAACCTCATTCATCTAATCGAGAGGTATATAACATATGCCTTTTGTATCCATCGTTCAAAGCCTTCATGCCTCAGCTCTTCGTCCCCAGTGAGAATAAGGCAATGCCTAAACTTTGCAGGTGGGATTTGAATGGTGTTCCCGAGTTCTGCTCAGAACAAGTTGAAATCATCTTCTCGGCTCTGAAGGAAACAATCCTCGAAACTGGAGAGAGAGCATTCGATTATCAAGGACGCAATGTTACAGATCACATTGTCGATATCGTAAGTTTTGGTCTGCGAAGATGATATTAATGGTATCCTTAGTAAACCATCTTTCGACCAAACTTAATTCGGAAACATCTCCTCTGATCCCCCAGTGGCTGGCTTTGATCAAGTCTATGTCGCAAGAAGCCGAGTGGTCTCGCAACAAGTCAGTGCCGACTTTGGAAGACTACATGGCAAATGCATATGTATCATTTGCATTAGGACCCATCGTCCTCCCGGCGCTCTACCTTATCGGGCCGAAGCTTCACGAGAAAACCGTTAAAAGTCGGGACTTCCATAAGCTTTACGAGCTCATGAGCACTGTTGGCCGAATTCTAAACGACATACAAGGCTTTAAGGCAAGAAGATTCTACTACAACTGTGATTGAGAATGTACCTTTGAAGTTTCAAGGTCTGTTATATACTGTCGATGTTTCTTGCAGAGGGAAAGCGATGAAGGCAAGCTGAACTCGGTTTCCTTGGGTATGATACACGAGGGCAAAGGCCAAAGCAAAGAAGAGATAATTGAATTGATGAAGGTTTCGGCCGAGAGAAAGAGGAGAGAGCTGATGAAGATGGTGTTGCAGGACAATGGAATCGATGTTCCAAGAGAATGCAAGGATGTGTTCTGGAAAATGACTAAAGTCTTGCATCTCTTTTACATGAAAGACGACGGCTTCACTTCCCATGACCTTCTCGGAGTTGTGAAATCTCTCGTTTACGAGCCCGTTTCCTTGCAGGAATGATCGCTCTCGAACCTGTTTTTTCCTGTAAGAAAAACTATGCAAAAAAGATTTTGACTCTTGTTTCAAGAAAAGAAGATGATAACCTTTTTATTTGTCGGGTGAAGGATAATAGTACAGGAATGGATGGCAAGATGTTCATCATGATGATACCAGCCCGATGTAAAACAAAATGAGGTAAGCTAAAATGATTTCTTTTCGTACGAAACGAGCCCGTGAACTCCTCCTTCGATCTGTGCGGCACCAGTACGAACCTATCACCAGAAACGATGTAAGTGCCACTCGGATCAGAAGTTCCTACGAGTTTTACAGCTCGAAAAAAAAGGGTTCTCACCTCGAGTCTGAGGACATTTGATCTCAACAGGTCATGAGCCGACTGCAACGACGATGCCCCGAGGTCTTGGAAACCTTGCTTGACGGCTTGCATTGTGTAAGGTACGAACTTCAAGACCGAACCTTTATCAGCAACTGCTCCCACCACTCCTTGTGCAATCTTCAGCTTCGCGGTATCCCCCAAGTATCGTTGGTCGCTCCCTTTGGTCATCGCTTCTAGCGATCCCATCCCTCGGTATTTCTTGACCCGACGGCCGTTCTACCATAACACCAAACGGTAAAACCGATCGATCAATGGTATTTGATGGGTTGAGACGTTAAAGAAGAAAGATATACATTACCCGATATTCGTAGGATCCGGGAGCTTCAGTGCTTCCGGCCAAGAAGCTTCCCATCATCACAGTTGATGCTCCAAGAACTAGAGCCTTTACTATGTGACCCGAGTTCGAGATCCCACCATCCGCTATAACGGGTACTCCGCTCTGAGCAGCAATCATCGACACTTTGTAGACAGCGGCAGCCTAAGGGATTCAACAAAAAACGATAAAAATGCGTATGTTAAAAGGACGAAAAAGTCTACAAACCAGTAAGAGTTTCTAGGTTTCTGTTTGGGGTGGCCAAAGTTGTTAATAACCAAATTGAAACGATCCCAACTGAATAATATATAACCGTATCCAAATCGAATTTGAAATAAAAACCGAATATGTATGATTTCTCTATAACCGAAATATCAAACCCGAACTGAATAAAACAATAACCGAAAAAACCAAAATTTACTTCGAAAACGAAATATTTTTATCAATAAAAAATGAATCCGGATAGAACCGAATGGATGTAGTTTTCCTACAACCGGAATAACCGAACCGAAACCCATAATGACCACCACAGTTTCTGTTACCTGTCCACGTCCAACGGCGCAAACCTCTTGAGTCGTACAAATCGATCCCGATCCCATACCGACCCTCAACCCATCAACTCCAGCTTGAATCAAATTCTGGGCCTGGTTCATCGTTACCACATTTCCACCAATCACATCAAGTTCTGGGTATGTTTTCTTCACATACTTGATCATCTCGAGCTGATAAATAGAGTTCCCCTGCGAGCTATCCAACACTATTGCATTGGCTCCAGCCTTAACCAAGTGCTCCAACCTCTCCTTGTCCGATTCTCGTGTCCCTACGGCCACACCCACCATCCATTTCCCGTCTGGACCGACGGTTCCCGATCCCAACTTGGGATAGCCTCTAACTCTCTCGACATCGTCCTTTGTCACCACGTTCACGGCCTCCCCGTCCCTCTCCATGACCACGAAACCCTTCTTCTTGTCCTCCAAAACGGCCTCGATCTTGTCCAGATCAATGTCCCATGGAACATAATAATCCCCGCCCTCACAGCTTCGCATGTAATCATATATCTTCATCTCCTTCTCTCGGTCTCGCATACTCGACCACTCCGATTTCGAGACATAACCCAACAGCTTTGGTGTCAATGTCCCTGCTCGATCAACCAAGAAGAAACCTTTATCATCTTTTCCCAGAATCTGTATGCGAATCACCAGAAAATCCGTCTAAACTAAGAAAGAAAATGTAGGATTTTGAAGAGTTCATGAAATTATTCAGAATTTTGCCCCTGCCCTTTAAGCTGAAAGGGCTTCAATCCAAAATTTACAGTGCAACTGATGCCTGAACTCGCTTCACTATGCTCAAGGCAACATTCAGACACAACTTACCAAATGTCTCAAAAAAGAAAGCGTAAGATTTCGAACAGCTCGTGAAAATTTTCAGAATTACGCCACACATCTTCAAGCTCAAAATGTTTCAATCCAATATTTCAGTGTATTCGACGCCTACATTCGTTTGACTATGTTCAAAAGGCTAAAGAAACATACAGAGACACAATTGAGCTAATACTAATGTCTGAATACCTGTCTGCGAGACAAAAACGAAGGAAGAGGGACCGAAATCATCGACAGAGCCAATCTGATGGTCGGGACACTTGAAAACGGCGTCGGAAGCAATCGGAGCTCGCAGAGACTTGGCCCGACGGATGATGGCGGCCTGAGCGTCGACGTCGCAGTTATAGTGAACGATGGCAACGCCTCCGAGCGCGGCCATGGCGGCAGCCATGGCGGATTCCGACACGGTGTCCATCGGCGACGCGACGCAAGGGATCGTGAGGGGGACCCGCCGGCTGAGGCGCGTGGACAGGGAGACAGCGTCGGTAGGGAAATCGATGTAGTGAGGGAGGAAGATTACGTCGTCGTAGGTGTAAGAGTACCCCTGAGCGAAGAGCCTCTCCGCAGAGAACCCATCTTCGAACGTCAACATCGATATCTCTCCGGTGAGTTGCTGCGGCGGCGACGGCAATCTGCCTTTAGAGAGAGTAAACTAGGGTTTTGGGGAAGACGACAACAATGAACAATCCCACGCTTGTAGAAAGAGATTCGACAGACACGGGTCTATTAGGGTTTAACTATAAATATATTTCGATAGCCGTTGGATTCTCATTACATTTTCTTTTCTTTTTTATTATCGTGGTCGATGTTAAATTGTTAATACAACATTAATTAGAGATAATTATAACATTTATAATGTATAATTTATATAATAATTTCAGATTTTTTTAATAAATAAGTGGTCCAATCCTACAATTGTTTCCTAATATAATACGTGTATTTTTTTTTTAAAGTGGATCATATATACTCAAAAGAGTAATTTTTACAAGATTAAACTCAAAATCTCAATTAATCACACAACCTAAATATATTTTTCATCCGCTTTTAACACCTATAATGCACCATATTCAAGTGAAGCTTATAATATTCGACCGACGAAACTTTATCAAAGTGCTAATGACATGTTATGCATTGTCAATTAGGACCATTTTTAAAAACAAGATTCCACAATGATTTTTCATATCACCACCACGATAAAGATAATGTTTCTTTTCCATTAAATATATGCTAAACAGATAATAAATTAAAATTACATCGTTAACCGAATGATTAAAGTTAAGTACATGTTTATCATTATCGAAAATTTATTAAGACGGAAAATAAATGGTTCATAAAGAAACAAATAAATCAAACCGAACCCACAAAATAAAAATAAATCAATTCTACGAAATAGATAATCAAACAATAAAACGAAAGAATTAAAAATCGATACGAAGAAATTTTAAAACTGAACAGAAAGACAGAGAAACCAAACAAAAAAGCCAAATTGAACCGAAAATTATAACAATCCGGACAGAAATTAAATCATAAACCAAACCAGACCGAGAACTGGTCCATATTTTCTAATTTTTCAGCAAATTATAAACCCTGGCGGCCAAATTCTTTGTTTTAGGGTTTTAGCCCATGAAATTTGCGGGAGAGGAAAAATCGCCATTTCAGGAACCAGGTGAGGTTTCTGATTTCTCAAATCCGTAATTTGAATTTTTGTATCCGATAATACTCTTCAGATTCGATGATCAGCAGTAGAACTGCTAAAGTTATTTCCAGAAATCTCCGTTTCACGCTTAGCAGGAGTTCTACTTCCGCGTCGCCATTTCCTTCTTCCAGTCCAATATACCCTAGCTCTCGTGCAAATGAATCCAGTTGTCACTCCTCTAACAGCCGATTCTCGACACGTTTATACCCGATTAGTTCTGTGCCCGAAAATCCTAGTTTTGTCGGATGTCAACAAACGCGGAACATAGTGAGGAGTTACTGTAGTGGAAAGAGCAATAATGGTGAATCCGGTGGCTGGACTGAGGAAATTGAGTATTTAGACGAATCGGGTAGTGTTATATACAGTGGTAAAGGTATAAGATCAGTTGAACCTGGGCTCGACGACCATGTAATGGTTGGTGAGTTGAAGAAGCCTCTAATGAATGCTTCGGCTGTGGCGAAGATTGTCGAGGTTGTGAAGAGGTGGAAATGGGGGCCGGAGTTGGAGACCCAATTGGACAAGCTCCAGTTCTCGCCGAATATGGTTCATGTTACTCAGGCCTTGAAAACGATAAAAGATACAGATGCGTCACTGAGTTTGTTCAGGTGGGCTAAGAAGCAGCCTTGGTATTCACCTTCGAACGAGTGTTATGTCGTGTTGTTCGATGGGTTGAACCAGAGCAGAGATTTCGAGGGGATTCAGTCTTTGTTTGAGGAAATGGTTCAGGATTCGAGTAATCATGGGGATGTGTCGTTTAGTGCTCATAACCAAGTGATTCAGTATTTGGCTAAAGCTGAGAAATTGGAGGTATCGTTTTGTTGTTTCAAGAGGGTTCAAGATTCTGCTGGTAAAATCGACACACTGACATACAACACTCTTATGACGTTGTTCCTGAACAAGGGACTGCCATACAAGGCATTTGAGATATACGAGAGCATGGAGAAAACGGATTCCCTGTTGGATGGGTCTACTTATGAGTTGATGATTCCTAGCTTGGCCAAATCTGGTCGTCTTGATGCTGCTTTTAAGCTTTTCGAGCAGATGAAGGGAAGGAAACTCCGACCAAGCTATAGCATATTTTCTTCACTTGTAGATTCAATGGGTAAAGCTGGTAGATTGGACACTTCAATGAAGGTGTACATGGAGATGCAGGGCTATGGCCACAGGCCATCAGCCACTATGTTTGTCTCTTTGATTGAGTCATATGCTAAAGCCGGCAAGTTAGACACTGCTCTTAGGCTTTGGGATGAAATGAAAAAGTTGCGTTTCCGGCCTAACTTTGGATTGTACACAATGATTATTGAATCTCATGCAAAATCAGGAAAGCTCGAAGTAGCAATGTCGATTTTCAAAGATATGGAAAAGGCTGGGTTCTTACCAACACCATCTACCTATTCGTGCCTCCTGGAAATGCATGCTGCATCTGGGCAGATAGATTCTGCAATGAAAATCTATAACTCTATGACCAATGCTGGGTTGAGACCGGGTCTGAGTACCTATACCTCCCTCGTGACTCTCCTAGCCAATAAGAAGCTTGTGGACATTGCTGGAAAAATACTACTTGAGATGAAGGCGATGGGTTATTCTGTAGATGTGACTGCAAGTGATGTCTTGATGATTTATATCAAAGACGGCTCAGTGGATCTCGCATTGAAATGGTTGAGATTCATGGGTTCATCAGGGATCAAAACGAACAATTTCATCATCAGGCAGTTATTCGAGTCATGCATGAAGAACGGATTATATGATTCAGCCAAGCCTTTGCTTGAGACGCTCGTGCACTCTGCTTCAAAAGTTGACTTAGTGCTCTACACTTCAATTCTAGCCCATCTCGTGCGATGTCAGGACGAGGATAAGGAAAGGCAATTGATGTCAATCCTCAGCGCTACAAGGCACAAAGCTCACACCTTTATGTGCGGGCTATTCACCGGACCCGAACAGAGGAAACAACCAGTTCTAGCTTTTGTGAGAGACTTCTTCCAGGGAATCGATTATGAACTAGAAGAAGGTGCTGCAAGATACTACGTGAACGTCCTCCTGAACTACCTTGTCTTGATGGGTCAGATAAACCGAGCTCGCTGTGTCTGGAAAGTGGCTTACGAAAACAAACTCTTCCCGAAAGCCATCGTCTTTGACCAACACATTGCCTGGTCACTCGATGTAAGAAACTTATCGGTGGGAGCTGCCCTCGTAGCTGTGGTCCACACCCTCCACAGGTTCAGAAAGAGGATGCTTTACTACGGGGTTGTCCCTAGACGTATAAAGCTAGTGACAGGACCGACATTGAAGATCGTTATAGCCCAGATGCTGAGCTCGGTGGAGTCGCCATTTGAGGTGAGCAAGGTGGTGTTGAGAGCACCTGGTGAATCGGTCATGGAGTGGTTCAAGAAACCGATCGTACAGCAGTTTCTTCTGAACGAGATCCCGTCACGTGCCGACATACTGATGCACAAGCTGAACGTCATGTTCCCGAGCTCTGCTCCTGAGCTTCGATCTTTGTCTCCTCCCAAACCACTTGTGTCTTCGAGGGGATTTTAAGAAACAGATACAAAGAAACTCATTGGCTTTTTGTATGATGATATTATATAGTTTTGTCCCTATTTGGTTTTGTACTCAGCAATTAATCTTTGATTTAATCTTTCATCGTTGTGAATCCGTGTATTTTAATTTATGCCACAATAAAGGTGGGGAAAAAAAGCCCAAGACAAAATCGGAGAGAGAGATGGTCATGGACAATACGTTTTAGGATATTCTTATCTGGGACAAGAATTATTCTGTCCTTGCATCCAAACATCATCCTCGGGCACGACTGCCTGCCTCGCCAAGTAGTGAGAGGGAGATCTCCCTCACTCTCTCTTCCTCACTCTGCAACCTCGAGTTCAAGGCAAGGCGCATTCAGGTCAGATCTACTTTTTTCGGTCCTTGTTCTAAGAATTAGGATTTTTCTCCATTGTGGATTTCGTTTCGAGTTTTCCTGAAGATTCAGTTTTTGTTTCCGATCTTCAGCGTGACGACAGAAATGGCGGATTCAGCATCTCTACTGTACAATCAGCTCAAGGTTTGAGTTTCTCCGCTTGTTTTCTTTCACAATGTTGAACCTTTGATATGTTTTTTTTTTTCTGTCTGGTGAATTGCGTTGCCTTATCAACTTGTTTTAGGCTGC